TGACAAGCTACAGGGTATGACCTCTCCCAATGTTACTGACTACTGTTGACAAGCTACAGGGTATGACCTCTCCCAATGTAACTAACTACTGTTGACAAGCTACAGGGTAATGACCTCTGCCAACAGACTGGTGTGCATGCAAGAGGATTGGTATGTTTTGCCAAGCCTATTAGCAAGTAGTGGAAAGAGGAAGGCTATTTATTGTCCCACGGGGATGAGGTCATGGAGGGGATATAGCCTCGTGTACGTTTACCTTTTATCTTCACTCTAGCAATGCCAAGGTCAACATTAGAAAATATTCATCATGACTGACCTTGACATTGCCCATCACACCCTGAAACAAACTCCTTCCACCAAAAGTCTGCAGCCTAGCAACGTTAATATGAATTTCTTGCCCATGATTTGACCTTGAATTTCAATGGGTTTTTTTTTATCCATACCCAATCTAGTACCAAATGTGAATGAGATTACATAAATGGGTTTTGAACTTTCATGACAATAGATTCATACAATTTTCAAACTTTATATATATGCTGTGTTATATGGATTGGCCCTGCTACACCAGATCTATAGGGACAACATGACATAATGACAAATACCAACACCATAAGTGACACATCACAACACTAAGCAAAGATTAGTAGCACGTGTCACAACACTGAAAAGTGAAGGTCTATAGAGTCAAGTAAAGGAAGGGGACACTTGAGTCAACATGTACTTTAAACAATTAAATCAGGTACAAGTACCGGACGTTAAAAATGTCTCTATAAAGAAATAAAATGTGCTCAGTTTACCCATAACAATCAACCTCAGCGTAGCTCAAATGGAACAATTCTTTTTCTGTACAAAACCATAAATATGCTTAGTTTTTTAAAGTTAAGATAATGCAGTATTTCATTTTGTGTTTTTAATTTGGGGTGGGGGAGTATTTTATTGCATTCCTGAGATTAGTAGAAACTGGCGAAAAGAGTGAAGAAAAATGGAAAACTACATACTTGTGTGTGTCCCCAATGCAGATAGCACACTCTCCAGCTCAGGGCCGTACAGACGCAGCTCTGTGCTATCTGCATTGACTCGATCTGCAGGGGCAAACACAAGCATTTTTAGTTGTATAAATTATCTATCTGGGACAACATTTAGTTGCTAGGGACAAACATTTAGTTGCTAGGGATTGGACAAAAATGAACACTCAGTTGTATCAATCATCTTTCAGTGTCAAACAGGTATTTAGTTGTATCTATCATCTAAAGGGACACAGACATTTAGTTGTCAGAGCAAAACACAGGTATTTAGTTGTCAGGAACAAACAGACATTTAGTTGTCAGGGACAAACACAGGCATTACGTTGTCAGTACCAAACACAGGTATTTAGTTGTCAGTGACAAACAGACATTTAGTTGTCAGGGACAGACATTTAGTTGTCAGGGACAGACATTTAGTTGTCAGGGACAAACATAGGTATTTACCTGTAAGGGACACATAAATTCAGTTGTTAGGGACACATACATTTAGTTGTCAGTGAAATATATATGGGTTTAGTTGTCAGGCACAACACAAACATTATTTGTCCGGGACAAAAACAGATGTTAAGCTGTCATTATTTTTCAGGAAAAAGCAGACATTGTCAGGTACAAACATAGATATTTAGTTTTCATGGACAAACACAGACCTTTAGTTGTCATGGACAAACACAGACCTTTAGTTGTCATGGACAAACACAGACATTTAGTTGTCAGTTGCATTAACTGGCAATCAGGAACAGACAGGGTTATTAATCTGTGCCTGCATGAATTAAGAAAATTAAGCAACATATTTGTGTTAAGATGTGGGTGATACAAGGCTTGTAAGGAAATGAATACAAGCAGTGACTTGTGATGAAGCAGGTATAAATATCTAACCACAGATGTTTAAATCACCCAAAGCCAATCTTACTATACTCTCTTCTTTTGTCACATAATCACCCATACTTCTTAATTATATACGCAGCCCCCAATCAACCTCCATAACAGGTCCAAAATCTAAATATTTTACTTAAAATGTTTTGCTTATCAGCTTTGACAATAAATTCCCAGGTAAGATATCAGCATGCCCACATATTAAATCAATGGCAAACCTTAACATGACTACCCAAACAAATTAGGTCAGTAATTTTGAGTTAAAAGTGAGGTAAAAAAAATATATGATAACCTCAAAAGGTTAAAGATATTGTTTGGGTTACACTGAATCAATATTAGACCCCTATGAATCCCTGTGACAAATGTCAGCATGTTAGCACAAACATTGTATCAGTGGCATGTCTTCACTGTCAGCATGTTAGCACAAATATTGTATCAGTGGCATGTCTTCACTGTCAGCATGTCAGCACAAATATTGTATCAGTGGCATGTCTTTTCTGTCAGCATGTAAGCACAAATATTGTATCAGTGGCATTTCTTCACTGTCAGTATGTTAGCACAAATATTGTATCAGTGGCATGTCTTCACTGTCAGCATGTCAGCACAAATATTGTATCAATGGCATGTCTTCACTGTCAGTTTGTTAGCCGAAAATATTGTATCAATGGCATGTCTTCCCTGTCAGCATGTTAGTATAAATATTGTATCAGTGGCATGTCTTCACTGTCAACATGTTAGCACAAACATTGTATCAGTGGCATGTCTTCACTGTCAGTTTGTTAGCCGAAAATATTGAATCAATGGCATGTCTTCCCTGTCAGCATGTTAGTATAAATATTGTATCAGTGGCATGTCTTCTCTGTCAGCATGTTAGCACAAATATTGTATCAGTGACATGTCTTCACTGTCAGCATGTAAGCACAAATATTGTATCAGTGGCATGTCTTCACTGTCAGTTTGTTAGCCGAAAATATTGAATCAATGGCATGTCTTCCCTGTCAGCATGTTAGTATAAATATTGTATCAGTGGCATGTCTTCTCTGTCAGCATGTTAGCACAAATATTGTATCAGTGGCATGTCTTCACTGTCAACATGTTAGCACAAACATTGTATCAGTGGCATGTCTTCACTGTCAGTTTGTTAGCCGAAAATATTGTATCAATGGCATGTCTTCACTGTCAGTTTGTTAGCCGAAAATATTGAATCAATGGCATGTCTTCCCTGTCAGCATGTTAGTATAAATATTGTATCAGTGGCATGTCTTCACTGTCAACATGTTAGCACAAACATTGTATCAGTGGCATGTCTTCACTGTCAGCATTTCTGCACCAATATTGTATCAGTGGCATGTCTTCACTGTCAGTTTGTTAGCCGAAAATATTGTATCAATGGCTTGTCTTCCCTGTCAGCATGTTAGTATAAATATTGTATCAGTGGCATGTCTTCACTGTCAGCATTTCAGCACCAATATTGTATCAGTGGCATGTCTTCACTGTCAGGATATTAGTACAAATATTGCATCAGTGGCATGTCTTCACTGTCAGCATGTCAGCACAAATATTGTATCAGTGGCAGGTCTTCACTGTCAGCATGTCAGCACCAATATTGTTTCAGTGGCATGTCTTCACTGTCAGCATGTCATCACCAATATTGTATCAGTGGCATGTCTTCACTGGCAGCATGTTAGCACAAATATTGTATCAGTGGCATGTCTTCATTGTCAGCATGACAGCACAAATATTGTATCAGTGGCATGTCTTCATTGACAGCATGTCAGCACAAATATTGTATCAGTGGCAGGTCTTCACTGTCAGCATGTCAGCACCAATATTGTATCAGTGGCATGTCTTCATTATCAGCATGTCAGCTCAAATATTGCATCAGTGGCATGTCTTCACTGTCAGGATATTAGTCCAAATATTGCATCAGTGGCATGTCTTCACTGTCAGGATATTAGTCCAAATATTGCATCAGTGGCATGTCTTCACTGTCAGCATTTCTGCACCAATATTGTATCAGTGGCATGTCTTCATTATCAGCATGTCAGCTCAAATATTGCATCAGTGGCATGTCTTCACTGTCAGGATATTAGTCCAAATATTGCATCAGTGGCATGTCTTCACTGTCAGCATTTCTGCACCAATATTGTATCAGTGGCATGTCTTCACTGTCAGCATGTCAGCACCAATATTGTATCAGTGGCATGTCTTCATTATCAGCATGTCAGCACAAATATTGCATCAGTGGCATGTCTTCACTGTCAGCATGTCAGCACCAATATTGTATCAGTGGCATGTTCTTTCCAAAAGGCCATACATTTTTTGGAATGGCTTCAAATAAGTTCAAGCTCTGAATCTTTGCTGTTATTTTTCACAGGTATCAATGCAAGGTCACTGTGTCTGTACGTAGAATTACATGTATACTTTCACTCAATGATTTCTAATTTTGTGAAAATAACGTTGTAAAACACTGGACCTCAGGAAGGGTCTGTAGGAGTGTGTTCATTTCTTCATGCCCAACAAAGTTATAGGGTTGAACTATTTTCAAAATATGTGCATGGACAAGGTACCTAATAGCCAGCAGAACCCCTGGTAATCATAGTAGCATAAGTGTTTTTTGTAATTTTTTGTCCCTTTAATGCAGCCTCTGGGAAAATCCTTTTAGTATCAGTTAATAATTAATGTTGTGACTCAGGAAATAAGTCCCAAGGGGCAAGCCTAATGTTAATACTGCCTGTTATATTGTATTTACTATATATGCATTACATTGTACTATTATCAACAGACATTGTGAATTTTCCATTATTTAATACAGTAATAAGGGTGAATGTTACTCTGCATCAAACACTTCCCAGCATACAATGAAGTGTCTCTAGTAATAGGTGACAGCTTCAATACCTTATAGAAGATCCATGTGAACCCCTCTAAATACCTAATAGGTGTACCCCCACCCCCACCCCCCCNGGAACCTCTTAAATACCTAATAGGTGACCCCATGTGGAGCTCCTCCATCTACACTTGAATGCCCAGAAATTCCACTCAAGATGCAACATGCTAAGAAGCCAGTCTACTGTTTGGGTCAACACATGATGCTGCACATCTTACCCTATTGTGATGGTGGCAGGTCCAGACGACTTCTGGTGGGGCTTTCTAAGTGTGATGTGGCCACTCCCATTAACAATAGGATTGTCGGGAAACTTGATAAGGAGTTTCTGACCTCCGCATTCTGCACCCTGTAACCAAAATAAACATTATTACCCTGTGACCAAAATCAACATTATCACCATGAAACTGAATCAACATTATTACCTTCTGTCCAAAATCAAAAGTTATTGCCATGTAACCAAACTCAACATTACCACCCTGTAACCAAAAACAAGAGGCCCAATGGACCTGCATCGCTCACCTGGTATAAATCTCACACTTGTTACCTTAAAAGTGATCTAAAATAAAGCTACAGGGCATGTATTCTGTGAAAATTAAAAGACTTAAGGTGAATTGTTTCTTTGGAATTCCTCTAGTAAAACCAGAGATTAAATTCAAACAAGCATTTCAAAAAACAGCCATGGAGGCCACCACCTTGGACTCAAAAAATAACAAGTCTGTCATTAATAATAATAATAATTCAAGGTTCTTATAAACCCCTTTATCACAACCCAAGTTTGTAGGTAGTCTCAAAGCAGTTCACAAATTATTATCCGTGGTTATGGGGCCTTTGCAACCAGCCATTGTCTTTCTCAACTCCCTGGGGAGCATACAGCCGGTGCTGCCATTTCGGCGCTCACAGCTAGCATTCTACAATTCTAGCACTGCCCAACCACGTACTAATTTACAGCTGAATAGACTGGAGCAAGCGGAGTTAAGTATCTTGCTCAAAGATACAACACAGCGCCGTGGCGTGACTCGAACCCACAACCCTTCGGTCACGAGCCCGGCATCCTACCACTAGACTACTGTGCCTCCATGCCAAGACCATGTACTAAGCATTCCTATGAAATTCCAATGAAATTCTGTCAACAGAACTGGAATTAAAGTTAAATATATAATTATCAAAATGTTGGCCATCTTGGATATCTGACCAACCCTAAAAAAAACCCACTTGGGTCAAGACTATTTACTTAACATTTATATGAAATTTCATACAAGTCCCTTCAGTAATATTTGCATTTAAATTCAAAATGGAAACCCTAAACACACGACTGACAACAACAGATCACAATGGGTCAACATCGCTTTCAGGCATTGTCAGCAGATTACACTAACTATAACAGAGCATTTTTTTTGAATACTTGCAGGACCTTGATTACTCTCAGGACCATGATAACTCTCAGGACCATGATAACTCTCAGGACTTTGATTACTCTCAGGACTTTGATAACTCTCAGGACCATGATAACTCTCGATGACCTTGATAACTCTCAGGACCTTGATTACTCTCAGGACCATGATAACTCTCAGGACTTTGATAACTCTCAGGACCTTAATTACTCTCAGGACCATGATAACTCTCAGGACCTTGATAACTCTCAGGACCTTAATTACTCTCAGGACCATGATAACTCTCAGGACTTTGATAACTCTCAGGACCTTAATTACTCTCAGGACCATGATAACTCTCAGGACTTTGATAACTCTCAGGACCTTAATTACTCTCAGGACCATGATAACTCTCAGGACTTTGATTACTCTCAGGACCTTAATTACTCTCAGGACCATGATAACTCTCAGGACTTTGATTACTCTCAGGACCATGATAACTCTCAGGACTTCGATAACTCTCAGGACCTTGATAACTCTCAGGACCTTGATTACTCTCAGGACCATGATAACTCTCAGGACCATGATAACTCTCAGGACCACGATAACTCTCAGGACCATGATAACTCTCAGGACCATGATTACTCTCAGGACCATGATTACTCTCAGGACCATGATTACTCTCAGGACCATGATAACTCTCAGGACTTTGATAACTCTCAGGACATTGATTACACTCAGGACATACTGATTATTCTCTGGACATATTGATTACTCTCAGGACTTGATTATTCTCAGAACTTTGATTACTCTCAGGAGATATTGATTACCCTAAGGACTTTGTTTACCCTCAGGACATATTGATTACTCTCAGGACTTTGTTTACCCTCAGGACATATTGATTACTCTCAGGAGATATCGATTACTCTCAGGAGATATTGATTACTCTCAGGAGATATTGATTACTCTCAGGAGATATTGATTACTCTCAGGAGATATTGATTACTCTTAGGAGATATTGATTACTTTCAGGACTCTGTTTACTCCTAGAACTTTGCTTACTCTCAGGACTTTACCTGTAAATGTTGCATGGCTTTGCCAGCTGCTTCCTTTGTTTTATAATTTATAAAAGCACAATATTTTTCTGGAAGACACCGTACACTAGTCACAGCTCCATACCTGTAATATAAAAATCACATACAAATCATTCCGTCTGTTTTCAGTCCCAATCTACAGCAAAAGATGTCACCAAAATCTCTACTCGGAGACGTGACAATCCACACATGATCATAACATCTACACACACATACAAATCATTCCGTCTGTTTTCAGTCCCAATCTACAGCAAAAGATGTCACCAAAATCTCTACTCGGAGACATGACAATCCACACATGATCATAACATCTACACACACATACCTATTTTGTGCACTAAACATATTTCTTCATGAAACAGGTATGAGCAGTACAACCTACACCAGCATACCTGTTCTGAACAGAACTGTACATAGACATATTAACCTCTACTTCACTGATATGATAACCATACCCAGGGGCAAGTCCCTTCATTTGTATGCTTTTAATTGATTCATCACTTCCTAAGGATGTTACCAGTGAAATCTTGTGGAATTCTGTCCCAGAAATTGTTTGAAGAGATTGTTAATGGGTGGAAGACAGACAGTGCAGTAAAACATCAGTTCACCTTTGTTCTGCGGAGGTTTCTAATAGTGTACCATTGATAAGTACCTACAAGTAAAACAACCTAACCATCCCTCTAAATCATAGTGTAGATGAGGCCCGACATTTATCAATCATCTGAACATGTGGACTGAAGAGGAATATATAGGTCAGGACTCAGACCCAGCACCTGCAGCATCACATATGCTCAGCATCCATAGATACACAAGCCATGTAAGTTTGGTTCAAGTAGGACATATATTGACTTGGTGACTGATGACCATAAACAATATTCTAAAACCAGGTCATTCAAACAAAATGCATAGGTCTCACCCAGCATATGATGCATCACATGAGCTCAGCATATTAGATACACAACTGTCATAAGACTAAACTCCAATCAGGGGTTTCATAAATCCCCCCTCCCCGATTCACACATATCTACAGAGTTTGAAGCTCGTTGACAGTGACCTCAATCTAGGGTCCCAAACCAGTGTTTCTGTGGTGTACCTAGGATAAACCATGCCAGTTTATTGGCTATCAGACATGAAGTTACCTGAAGACTGACTTCCACCAATTACAACCATAGTGCAGACAGGGACGGCAGACAATCATTCCAAATTTAGGAAGCAGAGCTCATGTCTTTGTTTTCCAACAATCTATTACTTTCTAATTATAATTCACAACAAAATAAGGAGCACCTAGAATGAATTTATTGAATTTCAATGGGTTAGGACATCCCCCTTATTTGCAAGACAGACAGGCTTTACCAAACCATAAGCCCTAAATGCATTGCAATATGGTCAAAAACAACACATTTGTCATCAATATATTAACAAGAATATCTTGCAAGTAACAAAATGGATTTGTCATTTCTTTCTCTCATTTCTCTAATATTATTTTTTACTTACTTTGAAAATATTCTAAAAAGTCTTTTGTCATCAACTTTGTCAGGAAGGACATTTCCAACCCACAGGGCCGTCAGTCCATCTGGATTGTGGTGACTGAAACACAAGGAAGTACTGACAAATCTACTATATCATTAAATTATCCATAATAATGTCCCTAAATCTTCAATCACAAAGAAAATATATACCATCTCAGTAATGGGGATTTTTTTTAAAGATTTCAGACATGATTTCAGAAAATCTTATATTTACTATTAAACTTTTCACAGATGAAAAAGAACAAAAGCTTTACATGTTTGTTAACATCCGGGCTATAAACTGTCCCCCTGGAGACTGTCAACACTTACTCCATCTTGGCGTCTGATTTTTTTGGTTGTGATGTTCTATTGTTTGTTATTGTAAAACCTTCATCGTCATCTGATACATAAACTTCTCCTCCTAAAACGTTTTCCGCTGAAAAAGTCGATAAAAAATGGCCATTTCAGTCAACATATTTGCGACATTGGGAAATAATGATTTTACATAGAATATGTTGGGTAATTTCAGGTTAAAATATTCAATCTTTCTGTGGTCTCTGTTGGTCAAACCTGCCTTAAGGCCACACAAAGAAAATGTCAATTGCTGTAAGTGGTTAGTTTCAGGTCCGCCTTATGTAAATTGCTATGTAAAAGCACTGAATTAGTGACCACCTGCCCAAAGAGTCCCAAAAAACCTAATCTGGATTGCAACACCTTACCAGCCAGGAAGAAGTTTAAATGAGGCTTCAGCTGGCTGATGATTTCTATTGTGAGGGTCTAGTATTAATACGCTCCTATAGTATAGCCACTGTGGCAGGTTACTACATGTTATTTTCTTTTCTTTCTTTGTATATATTTGTCTTACAAAGATCGTATTACCATATTTTTTGTTCCATTACATTCTTTGTATGGTATAAACTTCCATCAATGGAAATAAACCATAGCTGATAGTACAAGATTATAAAAGAAATTCAAGAAATTCAAGTCTAGTTCAAATGTCTGCTTTTTAACTCATTAATGGGAATGTTATTTAATACATCATTAAGGTCAACTTACACAAGCCTATCTCAACTATGCACTGGAAACATATTATCATCACAAATACTTAATCCTACTAACAAACAATCAATTTTACAGTACAAGCCACTCCGTGTATTTACAACTACCTGTAATAAAAACCCTTTGTGACAAAGAAAACACTCACCAACTCCAGCTAGTAGAGAATCTAATGCCGACTGTACTGTTCCATGCAGTTTGATGGCGGCCTCTGCTTGCTGTCGTGAAAACCCCATGTCCTGATAAAACGTAACATAAAACCCATCTCCTGTTAAAACATTAGTCAAAGTACAGTTATTTACAGTTGGACTCAACATAGGGACACATAACTCCTGTATATACTTGTAGATCTGAATATTACGGTAAGGGGTAAAACAATATACATCTGTAACGTTCCATGTACCACCCTTTAAACCCCTTGAATAACCAAGTGACATACTTAGAACCTTACAGATCTTTTCTGTTCTGGATTTTATACACTCCACAAGTCTTTGGTTTTGTTAGACAATGTCCACCACCAAGAAGGTGCTGTTTACAGTTCCCAGTGACCGATGCAATACTTCAGTGTAGTATAGAGAACTTCATGTCTCTGCCACGGTGGGGTAATACTCTGCCACAGTGGGGGAATACTCTGCCACGGTGGGGCAATACTCTGCCACGGTGGGGTAATACTCTGCCATGGTGGGGGAATACTCTGCCACGGTGGGGTAATACTCTGCCACAGTGGGGCAATACTCTGCCACGGTGGGGCAATACTCTGCCACGGTGGGGTAATACTCTGCCCCGGTGGGGAAATACTCTGCCATGGTGGGGGAATACTCTGCCACGGTGGGGGAATACTCTGCCATGGTGGGGGAATACTCTGCCACGGTGGGGGAATACTCTGGCACGGTGGGGTAATACTCTGCCACGGGGGGGCAATACTCTGCCACAGTGGGGGAATACTCTGCTACGGTGGGGCAATACTCTGCCACAGTGGGGTAATACTCTGCCCCAGTGGGGGAATACTCTGCCACGGTGGGGCAATACTCTGCCACGGTGGGGTAATACTCTGCCATGGTGGGGGAATACTCTGCCACGGTGGGGGAATACTCTGGCACGGTGGGGTAATACTCTGCCACGGTGGGGGAATACTCTGCCATGGTGGGGGAATACTCTGCCACGGTGGGGGAATACTCTGGCACGGTGGGGTAATACTCTGCCACGGTGGGGCAATCCTCTGCCACAGTGGGGTAATACTCTGCCACTGTGGGGTAATCCTCTGCCACTGTGGGGGAATACTCTGCCACGGTGGGGGAATACTCTGCCACGGTGGGGCAATACTCTGCCACAGTGGGGTAATACTCTGCCACAGCGGGGTAATATTCTGCCACAGTGGGGTAATACTCTGCCACGGTGGGGTAGTACTCTGCCACGGTGGGGCAATACTCTGTACGTGATGTTGTTTGAGGTAAACAGTGTCTGATAAAGGCACCCCATTTATCATTTACCTACACATGGCACCCTTCTTAGGTCCAATGCAGTACATCCTATCATAAACAGGTGTATACAATCCTAATAGGAGTATGCATCTCAATATAGATTGTATCACCACATACCTTATGCTACATAGCATTAGTATTGTTACACTTACAGTAATTTGATGGGTCCGCACCCTCAGCAGTTCCGTCACCGCATCTTCACAATTTTTGTCTAATTTTAAAACCTGTGTAAAAGCATCTTCTGCCTCGGAAAACATCTGCAAATACAACACGTAAATACAACAAATAAATTTGAATATCAGCTTCAGTCTGGGTAAACAGTTCATGAGTTGCTGACTGTGCTTATGGATTACATACAGTGTATATGTGCTTCATACAATACCCCGAGTAAGTCTGTTCCAAGTTACGAATTAGTTTAAACTGTGATTGATAGTTTCTCAAGTATTAATACCCCTTCCACTGTGTTGAGAGGATGATGCAACTAAGTAACAGTGTTTAAACAACAAGAGGCCCAATGGGCCTGCATCGCTCACCTGGTACAGATCTCACACTTGTAACCTTAAAAGTGATCTAAAATAAAGCTACAGGCAAAATATCAGTATTTATGATTAAAATTCATTCAAAAGACCCGTTAATTTTTTTTAAAACATTTCACCCCTGTGATTGAAAGTCAAACAAATTTGATAGCCTTTCATCTCAGGATGCAATTTGTAAAGTATCAACATCCTGGGACCCATGGTTATTCAGAAGAGGTCGTTTAAAGATTTTAAACAAATTTGACCCCTGTGACCTTGAATATAAGTCAAAGTCATTCACTTTAACAAACATAGTAGTCCTTGATCCCAGCATGCTACTGACTTAATATCAACATCCTGAGCCTTTTGGTTATTCAGAAGAGGTCGTTTAAATATTTTGAACATATTTGCTCCTTGTGACCTTGAATATGATTCAAGGTCATACATTTAAACAAACTTGGTAGCCCTTGATCCTAGTATGCTACTGACTAAATATCATCACCCTGGGCATTTTGGTTATTGAGAAGAAGTTGTTTAAAGTTTTTAACATATTGGACCCGTGACCTTGCATATGGGTGAAGGTCATTCATTTGAACAAACTTTATAGCCCTTCATCTCAGCATGCTATTGGCCAAATATCACCACCCTGGGCATTTTGGTTATTCAGAAGAAGTTGTTTAAAGGTTTTAACGTATTTGACCCCTGTGACCTTGAATATGGGTGAAGGTCATTCATTTGAACAAACTTGGTAGCGCTTCACCCAAGCATGCTACTGGCCAAATATCATCCCCTTGGGCAGTTTGGTTATCGAGAAGAAGATGTTTAAAGTTTTTAACATATTTGACCCCTGTGACCTTGAAAATGGGTGAAGGTCATTCATTTTAACAAACTTTGTAGCCCTTCATCCCAGTTTGCTTCTGGCCAAATATCGACACCCTAGGCCTTTCGGTTATTAAGAAGAAGTTGTTTAAAGTAAAATATTGACACCGGACGACGGACGGACGGACGACGCGCCACGGCATAAGTTCACATGGCACTTCGTGCCAGGTGAGCTAAAAAGCACTGATAACCTACAATGCACTAGAACTTTGTCTTTGGTGTGTGTTTCTGAAGCACGGGTAACGCATTATGTCTTTGCTATCTTGGCAGAACAGTCCAATAATTACAGGCTCTACTGGCATTTCACATAACTCCGCGATACGAATATAACACCAGAAACTGTATGTTAGCTATCTACACAAGTGTGTAATAATTACCAGAAAACTGACTGCTAGCTATTCTCACAAGTGTGTAATAATTACAAGAAAACTGACTGCTAGCTAATCTCACAAGTGTGTAATAATTACCAGAAAACTGACTGCTAGCTATTCTCACAAGTGTGTAATAATTACCAGAAAATGTATGTTAGCTATTCTCACAAGTGTGTAATAATTACAAGAAAACTGACTGCTACCTATTCTCACAAGTGTATATTACCAGAAAACTGACTGCTAGCTATTCTCACAAGTGTGTAATAATTACCAGAAAATGTATGTTAGCTGCTATTCTCACAAGTGTGTAATAATTACAAGAAAACTGGTACGTATTGCAGTAAATACAGGCTGAAATATGTAACTTACCCTTAGGCCAGCTAACGCCCGTCCTTTCCTAAAATAACCTTTTGGCCACTCTTTGGATAGGTGTATTGCTTTTTCAGCATCCTTTAATGCTCTGTAAGAAACATGGCGCGAGTTAGATAGCTACGGACACAGCTCTAGCTTGTTTTCACACAATCCTCACAGTTTCTGCCAAACTTTAAGGGACTAGTTGCAGTCACAAGGTAATTTAAACAAATATATACAAACAGCGCTATGAAAACTAACATTAAATGAAAGTTGTAGGGAGAGTAGATGAGGACAAACATTATTACAATGGTATAACAATAATCTTTATTTACCTACCGACAGTGACAATATTTACCTACCATGAGAGACCAAATCTAACAATACTTACCTATCATATTGCTGTTCTCTGTCATAACAGTAAGATCGGTTTCCAAAAAATCTGCCAACAAGCAAAGAACACTATGTCATGTTGGTTAAGGTATCTGCTCGGTCATCAGTAAAAATTGAGATGAGTAGACAAATTAGTTACTTCAACTTCTAGTAAACAGTGATAAGACATTATCTTAACTTCAAAATTGTCATCTAATTCTCAATCAGTGAAAAGAGATTGGTTTTTTGTAACAATATAAAATCTTGTATTGTGTTGAAATTACAGATTTGATTGTGAGATTTCTTTAAATATGCTTGAAAATCTGCAACATGTAAATAAAGATTTCAAGTCTTTATATAGGCATTATGAAAGCTAGATGGTATACAAACCTAAAATCGTTGGGGTCTAATTTGATGGCCTCGGAGAAGAGTTCTATAGCTGCATTGTAATGGCCTAGCTGTGCCATCTCATTTCCTTTAACTGTATAAAGTACAATCAAATATTAGTAGGTGCAACAGTCACATTTAACCAATTAATTTGCAAATAAATTCACACCCTTATTACCGATACTTCCATATTTCCACAACCCTGACTAACTGTGGAATGTAAGAACTTTAGAAAATGGTACTTACTTGCTAACTGTCGACTGCGTAATACTACAGGATCTAGGTCCTCCGCCTGCAATACAACAACAGTCATGGTATTTAAATCATAACATTGAAACTACAGCTATTCCAGTATATATCGTATGGAAAAGGTGGGATGCCACTTTTCTGAGACCCATCAACTTCAAAACAAGATAAAGCTTGGCCTGAATTACTCAGCAATTGTTTATATATATGTAATTAACAATTTAAACCATGCAACAATCAAACAAGGAAATATACCTTTAATATGCCAACTAGATTGAAAATTGCTGCAGAAATTGAAAACATTTCAGTCCTGAATAACTTTGATAAATTGACACCATTTTTTCAGCAAAGATACAATATGGTCGCATACAGATGGGTTCATCAAAGCGGGTCATAAGCGATGACCTCGAAAAATTTATAAACCAGGAGAACTTTGGAAAACCTCTTTACTCTACAGTAAGAGTGACCTTTAATTTGACCTTGCACTCTCAAATGCAATTACATACATCCTTATATCATGTGACAGACTGTTACACTGCATGGAGTTGAAGGACTCTGTGACTAGAGTACTGGAAATCTATTCAATAGCAAATGGCCTTGACTTTTGGCCTAAAATGCAATTTGCTAAAGCTCGGCAGACATGGGAATGGTGAGGTACATGGTTTCTGGGCATGTGATACAACGGCCGGCTCTTACATCATCTTCACTTCCTCCTTTCTTGTCTTTCTTTGACGAGTGTTCAGAACTTTGTGGTGCCCCAGATTTCTTTTTCTTATTGACGACTTTGGTAAAAAAAGCTGAATGAGGATCAAAACCCTACAAACAAATTGTTATGTTTACAAATCTTATTTCAAATGTTATCAACACCTTTAAAGAAAAATATCCTATCAGAACCTCAAAACAACGGTATGGTAATCAGTGTCTTTTATATTAGTTATCCTTATAGTTTTATTCGTTCAGAACCTTTCAAAATTCCTTCATTATTCATCTTACAAGAAATTGTTTCTGTTACTTTGATTTTGTAATCTGGTTTCAACAGAGATTTGCGTCATTTTTATTTTCAGTACACACAAGAGCATTACTGTTTTCACCATTGATATAATGTATGTATATATACCCCTTCCCAATCCCACAGGGTGATAATGTGGGACATTTATAACTGCCAACAGGATTGTAAGGAAGCAGTTATCAACATCCCTTATATATTTACCTATATTTCAAAATAAACACCTTCTTTCAAATATCAACCATTTAGACTGTTAACCATTTAAAACATCAAAGAAATTTTGACCCCCTTGGACTATGGATGCTACTATCAAAATTCGGTTGAAATCTGGTCAATAATTTGGGAGGACGTGTTTAATGCAAAAGTTGATTGAAAGACGACAGATAACGGAAAAAGCACAAGAAAAGCTCACAGTGTGTGCTAAAGGAATGACAAAGCACTTGCAAGTGCATGCTTTAAAATCTTGTTTGGATAATATATTTTAATTACAGCATAATACAACAGAATACTCACAGCTTCATCTGACGAAGAATCTGAATCCCTAAAATCAAGGAGGGATACCCAATGTTACATTAGTCTGTAGAGTGGTGATTCCTAAAATCTATTTATAGTTGGTTTTGACAAAGGCTGGTTGAAATATGATCTTGTACAAGAGATGATGTTTGTGAATAAATAATATGAAATTTCATAACAATAGGAAAATAAATGAAGACAATTCACCACAAAGATATAATTAACGTTCCTTCAAAGGTACTAGCTAGTCAATATCTAATCCTTATACATCTATTTCAGCATTTAGCTATACATTGATTTTGTTTACTTATTGTTGACCTTAATACAAATATTCCCTAATACTTCCGATATTGAAGCTTCGAAATGACTCTGATCCAGTTGTGTTCATAGCCCGTTTCTTTGTGTAATGCTCAAAGAGGAACTTGCAGTACAAATGTAAATACATATCAGTGTATATATGGTATACTTCTGTAAATACATATCTATGTCAGCCAGTATTTAGCCCGATACATCTATAAAGTTTCGTACATAAACCGTTCAATCACTAAGTGGCCAAGACATGATCTTTGACAGCCATATACATATACCAGCTATACTTGGTCGACACTGTATGACACTGAAATACCAACTCACCAGAGATATTCTCATATACAACTTCCAACTCACCAGAGATATTCTCATATTCAACTTCCAACTCACCAGAGATATTCTCATATACTACTTCCAACTCACCAGAGATATTCTCATATACAACTACCATCTCACCAGAGATATTCTCATATACAACTTCAATCTCACCAGAGATATTCTCATATACAACTTCCATCTCACCAGAGATATTCTCATATACAACTTCAATCTCACCAGAGATATTCTCATATACAACTTCCAACTCTCCAGAGATATTCTCATATACAACTTCCAACTCACTAGAGATATTCTCATATACAACTTCCACCTCACCAGAGATATTCTCATATACAACTTCCATCTAACCAGAGATATTCTCATATACAACTTCCATCTCACCAGAGATATTCTCATATACAACTTCCATGTCACCAGAGATATTCTCATATACAACTTCCAACTCACTAGAGATATTCTCATATACAACTTCCACCTCACCAGAGATATTCTCATATACAACTTCCATGTCACCAGAGATATTCTCATATACAACTTCCAACTAACCAGAGATATTCTCATATACAACTTCCAACTCACCACAGATATTCTCATATACAACTTCCACCTCACCAGAGATATTCTCATATACAACTTCCAACTCTCCAGAGATATTCTCATATACAACTTCCAACTCACTAGAGATATTCTCATATACAACTTCCACCTCACCAGAGATATTCTCATATACAACTTCCAACTCACTAGAGATATTCTCATATACAACTTCCACCTCACCAGAGATATTCTCATATACAACTTCCATGTCACCAGAGATATTCTCATATACAACTTCCAACTCTCCAGAGATATTCTCATATACAACTTCCAACTCACCAGAGATATTCTCATATACAACTTCCATCTCACCAGAGATATTCTCATATACAACTTCCATCAAAATCCATTAAGAATTAAGTCACTAAAACAATGACACTCAATTGACAACCTTCTATAAATAGTAGTTGACTTCGGCCTTGACTTTGATACTATACTATCTGGTATCAAACACAAACCAATCCATGATTGTTTTACACTTGACCTTTGTATTAAATTTGATTAAAATCTGTTGAGTGAAGTCGTTAGACTGATGACATTAATCAAGTTGGCCAAAGTAATATACTGGTGTATAATATGTGGTATACTTCTGTCAATAAATACTGACTTTCACTAGAGTGACCACTGACCATAACAATAAATTATGTTGTTTTTTATCAGAAGCTACAGAAAACGTGTACATAATTTTGAAATATACCTTGTAATTTTTTTTCCTTTACTCTTTTCAGAATTTTCTGATTCTTTTGACTTTGGTTTAATTTTTTTGTCCTCCTGAAACAGAAAAACAAATCTCTGATGCATAATTCAATGAATTCCCACAGAACTAGACTTTCACCAATTCAAAATTCAATCTCATTCAATCATAAGCTTTGAAGGGTCCTCTATCAGTCAGTCCTGGACAAGAGGGATGAAGATTTGTGCCAGCCCCTGTCAACTGTGGACCTTGAAATGGATTTACGGGGCCACTGTTAATACCCAGTAAGGGGAGGGTTTCTGTCACTACTTAGCCAGGATGTAGATTTGTTGAGTGACAGTATGTTTAGATACCCCCACCCCTACTTTGTTTTTGTACATAAGGAGTAATTACAGCTAAAAAGGTTGGTCACCAAGGACAGAAAAACCAGGAACTGTGCCCCAAATCAAGGACAGATTCAGACAGGTGGATACTATATCAACATAAATACTATGGAGTAGATACCTTCCCTTTTTCAAGTGGGGAAACAACAATTGGCAATACCTCTATTACATGGTTATCTCCCTTTTCCTGACGTTTCCGCTCCCTTCTTCTCTGAAAGTTAAAGAGAAAATGTATCAGCATTATGTAATAATGATCAAGTTACTTGTTAATTATTCACCCATCAGTATAATTATTGCCTAGTCTTTTTTTATTACTTTTCGTTTGTAGATTTTTTTTAAACTTTGTTACTCTGTAAAGTTATGACATCCAGGTAAATAATTAAACTGAATAAATAATGATGCCGAAGTTAATAGTTAAACACACATAGAAAACCTTAATCTAATAAATACAAGAAACTGTTATTTGATATGTACTGGTAAGTATAACACGTCAGGAAAACGAAACTATTTGATGGGCATTCAGAATCAGTCTTTACCTTTTTCTTTGCTTTTCTTTTTTCTGCTTTTTTCTTTTCTTTCTCCTCTTCAGTAATTAATTCTTCTGCATTTTTATTTATTTCCTGAAATAAATATGTGTTCATTTAATATGTAGTTAAATTATTTAGATTTTATTTTTAACTTTCACAAGCATATGATAGCTAATAGATTTGATTCTCTTACAGATGTATATACATTATATATAAAACTAATCGCATATTGATTGTTTTCCATCTGTTATTTTAAAAGATTTGAATATTCCTGAATTTCTTCCTTTTTCCTAGTAATACCCTAGAGTTAGTTGCCGAATGGCCTGAAAAGTCTGTGATATACAGATGTATGTGCTTTAAATACTGGCACCATTAAACTCACCTCTGCTGTTAGATGCTTGTTACTGAACTCAGATGCTGTAAAGACAAAAGATGAATTTACTTTTGAAACATTTCAGATATACACTGAAACTTTAGATGAATGACTAGAAATCTGTCTATGAACCTAAGATGGTACACTGTCCTTTAATTTTTTGATTTTTTTTTTCAATTTCTAAATACTATTTAGCATTGTTGTCCCCTATCATCTGCCATGATCAACAACTAGTTTCAGCAGCTTACCTGTTTTGGCTTTTTTCATTTCTTGTTTCAACTTAAATTTATCTGGGAATAAGTTTGAATACTGTATATCATCATCAAAGTCTTCATCATCTTCACTGTCTGAGGTGTCGTATCCAGACCCATTATTATAGGAATCTGAAGGAGAACAACACATCCAACCCATTTACAAAATATTGGCACTAGTACATGCTCTGTAATATATAAAGTTAAAATCAAGATTTATCCTTTATTTCCACTTTGGGTCTTACCATCTGTCCTTATTTGGACAAACTCTCCATTTATGAAATATTCAATTTTCTTGGCCACAGGATGCTTCATACCAAACTAGGATAAAATCCCTTCATCCATAAGATTTACCCCAGTCACCATCAAGGGTCTCAGTCCCCAGGATGTCCACATCTTTCATATGAAAATGTAAGAGCCAGGTGAGCTAAGATGTATCCTTTTTACAGAGTTGAAAATAATTTAAGGACAATTAATGTAATGGGCTGGAAGGATTTAGGCAACAATGACCAAGGAGAAAATGAAATAATCACTTTGTAACAAAAATCCTGTACATCAAAGTTCTGGGTTTGTTTAAGGACAAGGTTTTTTTTAAGAAGGAGAAAAAAAGAGTACAACACACTAAAGAGGGAAAATTGGGATGAACAAAAATGGACTTTGTAAAATATATATTGTTGATAGTTATATAGTCAGATCAGGTTAGCAATGATGTCAACATTAGTTTTATACTTACTACCGACAGATCTTGGGAAAAAAACTTCTTTAAACAGAGCCAGCATCTGATCCTAAAATAACAAGAAAGTATCATATGATTGTGACATACATTTTTTTCATTATGCATCAACCGATAGTTATCCAATGACTTTGTAGATGAAATGATGGACAGATGAAAAGATTGATAATCTCAATACGACAGGTAATTCTGAAATATTTAAAATTCTATGTATTTTATATGTAAATGCTGCAAGGAAAGGTGCTAATAAATCATTGGCTTTATCTATATCTGTTGCCTACATCTGAGAGGCGTCCAAGTTAACCAAAATGATGATTAACAACAGTTCAGTATCCCCGATTCAATTAGTGGCTCATGATTTCCACAATTCTGCTATAATCTTATAATACTGTCAGATTTAGTTACACACATTGACACAGACGAACCTTTATCCAATAACAAAAACTAAGTTTTTTTTTGTCTTGACATAAAAGACATAGAAATGTTGACGAAAACAAGTATGGGACTTCTAGTTTAGCTAACTTCATTTTTTATGCCTGATAAAAAGATCACTCAATGTATTATAAAATTTGACTGTTTCTCCTAAATATAGAAATCAGAGTTAAGAATTTGATGGTGTAATTAATAAACCAACTAATAACTAAAACTGAAGCACAAAAACCGAACCGAATACTGACTGAACATTACTTTTCTTATAAATTTGTTAAAATGAACAGATAGGTAATAGGCAATGGGATATCTTTTTGATCAACTTACCATGGAGGTGGGCATGTGGTCCTCATCCTCGCCTAATAATCTCTTGTATGCTTTACTTATACTTTTGAAATTCTGAAAAGATGTTTTCAAAATATTACATACGTTTTTCTGTTATATCAAAAACATTTATTCAATTTGTGTTTGATACAACATGCTATTTTCTAAATTAGAAGACTGTTGACAAAAGATCCTTCCACCATTTATGACTTAAGTGCATCACTGTATTCAAAATAGTCAGCTAAGTGGCCTTGTAACCTAAGAGCATGCCTTCTAAATTCACATACTTCCTTGAAATTTGTGCAATTGTTTGCAAGGGATCAATGAAGCAATAATAAGGAAATGAAATACTAACCAGACGATATCAATAACATGTAAAAGTCAGTCATTATCATAAGTTAACACTTTTGTTGTGTATTATACCAATTACAAACATCAATGTGCAGGTAAACTTCAACATATTTTAATAACTCTAGAATCTAAATGGAAATTCAGTAGTTTCATTACATCAATCTGTTTTTCAATATTGATTACTCATCATGAGTGGTACATGTGTAGTTATCTCCCTATCTTTAAACTGGTGATAGACATTAATCCTATATTCATCATGACATGTGACCCATGTTCACCACATCACATGACTTACTGTGTTTACCACATCACATGACTTACGTTATATTCATCATGACATGTGACCTTTGTTCACCACATCACATGACTTACTGTGTTTACCACATCACATGACTTACTTTATATTCATCATGACATGTGACCTTTGTTCACCACATCACATGACTTCCTGTGTTCACCACATCACATGACTTACTTCATATTCATCATGACATGTGACCTTTGTACACCACATCACATGACTTCCTGTATTCACCACATCACATGACTTACTTTTACAGCCTCGGTTGAACTGCTCCCACTGTGTTTATCTGGATGCCATTTTAAAGCCAATCTCTTATAACTGGTTCTAACTGAGTCTTGATCAGCACCTGTAGAGATAAAATTCATAACTAATTTTAAATATAAGTTGCAGTGTAGCATTGTTTCAGCAATCCTGTGTAGATAAGCACCTATTTTTGTCTAATTAAAGATTGATTAATTAATATAAACCCTATTCTATTAAATAGTACAAATTAAATATAATACAGTGTATCTTTTTATTAACGCATCACTCTGTAAAACTTAATAATAATGACTAACAAATTAAGATCTAGTTAGATTGACTTATGTTATCATATATCTATATTTGGAATGGCTGTTTTGAAGATGTAATCTCCAAACAAGAAAAATGAATGGTCACTCATGAATGCTCAACACAGGTCATGTTGGAATAACTCCCTTAATTCTAAGCGAGAAGTAGGGTGATCTTTTGATGATGTTTTTTTGGGAGGTCACAATACCTATTGTATTTTTTGGATTTTGACGTTTTCCGAATTAAGTCTACACATATCCGTTAAAACATGGTGAGTGATCACAGCTCCAGCTCGGCATGAAATTTGTGGAACTTTAAAGTCATGCCCATTTTGGACCAAGTCTATTTCTAGTTGTATTATTGCCATTAAGAATTTGCAACATATCTTTTCTCTTTGCTTCTACTGTTACTGTATGTATGTGTATATCATGATACGTATCTTGAAGCCTCAACTTTAGAGGTGAAACTAGTCGGCCAAATAAACTTTAAAACCCACTTATTGGCGACACTTGAGTTTGTTGTGATATCCATTTTCTTTATATGTGCCTATATTCTGTAATCGCCCTGCATACCGTTTGGTATTCGTACTCAAAGTGAAGCCCATCACTGATCAACCCACAAACCTACACCCGACGTTGGCTCTGTTACCTTACTTTATTGACTGTATTAAATTGTATATCTATGTACTGTAAAGCGCTTTAGAGTAGCTTATGTTAGCTAGATAGGGCGCTATATAAAATGTTGTATATTTATTTTATTTTATTTATAGAGTCAACAGATACAATATATATTCATTCAAAATTATCTGCTGTTGATACTTGTGAGTATGTGTAAACAGTTCTGTATAATAATCTGTTCTGTTTTATACAGGGGTGTCAGGGCTAGTGAAACTGTTCTGATGCTCAAGCACAGATTCTTCGCTCAATATGACTATGCCAGTAAAAAGGTCAATTGCAAACATTTTAAACATATATATCGGCAATGGCCGGGTGGTTATGGCGTCTGACCGTCTAGATCGCTATAGCCTTCCACCACTGAGTTGTGGGTTCAGGTCTTTGTGGGGCAGTCGCCAGGTACTGGCTGCAGGTCGGTGTTTTTTCTCTGGGAACTCGGACTTTCCCCCACCACCAAAATATGGCATGACCATAACTGGTAATAGGACATAAAACCTAAACATACCAAAATTGAAGTCTACAAAATTCATTTTTATCACTTTTGAAATGTGATTTTTCTCTAGTTTATCAGCAGAACAAGAAATTGTTTTAGAGCACAAAATCTGGTTTCAGCATACAAGAATGAATTCAAGATAACCAAACATCTTCAGATATCGCTATAATTTTTGGAGTCAGGGGGTGTTGATTTTATGTGAAGGCATGAACTAAATGGGACAAGAATAGCTCTCAGTCAGTGAACTTCACTGTTCAGTGAACAAATGCAAAAGAGACATTTTCTGGAATCTTCAATGTATTCAACTGCCAATCTGTGCTACTGGTTGTCAGGTTCCCAATAACAAAAAATGATCAGTTATGAACTTCAATGAGGCGACTAACATCAACTGGAGGCATTAACAGCATGATATTAACTGCCAAGTAGCAAATTGAATCCATAACTGAATAACAAAATTACAATAAACTGTCGCCAGTGTCGGCGGTAGAGAAAATACATTGTATGTCATGATCAGTTTTCCGAGAATAGAACATTTGATTATAACATCATTGAACATATATAGGGCACTCGCAAGTTCCAAAACTGTCCTATTTTGAAAAAAATCGTGTATATTAAAATGAAAATTCGAAGGTATCAATTCAGTATTGACACTAAACAGTAAATACGAACAGGTCGCAGAATGTCAAGATCCGGTGAAGGTTTAAATAAGCTACTGTATAAAGCGAGAGGGAGGTTAGGGCCGAATTATATACGTTTCAAATGATCGTAGCGGTTTCTATTCAATCACAAGTACATATAAAACGAAGAACATCGTAATAAATTATAGAAACATGGATAATATCAAATACATTTTCACTTTTGGACACTTCGCCGACTGTTTGGACACATGTCATATTATATTTCCACGTCAAAACTAGAACAGTCAAAAATAATCTTTGAGCTAAATGACATACCAACGGGTAATTCTAATATATCGTACGCTTCTTCTCTTGATAAAGCCATTACGGATTAGAGTCACTATTGTATATTATTGGAAATCATGAAGTATTCGGTCTTTTTCTGATCGACGATTTCGTGGACACTTGTCTATCAACTAGCCGCCATTTTTCTTGCAAGCATGTGAAGGATCACGTGATATATAGCGTTATTATTCGATACATTGCGAGATAAAAACATAGCAAATGTGGGTGTGTCTCTGAGAGGGTTTTATCATATATTTTTTTTAAACAATTGCTTGTAACAAGCAACCAAGTTACAAAGACCTTTCCATGCTGCATTCCAAACAACAATAGTTATCATAATTAATTATACTCTGTAGTTATACCATGTCTATTTATACGTCATGCTCATCACACATGTACACGCTAAGACTAACAATTAATTGGAAATTGCAATTCTGTGCCAGGAATCTATAATGACATTTTATACAGATAAACCATGTTTAGCATTTACTTCATTGAAACATAACCATACACTTATTTTTTTGGACTCTAAGAATGGTCAAATGTATACCCATGCAGGTATATATGGAAGAATTTCCAATACCAGGCAATATAGCTAGGTTACTGAAATAACACTTCTAACAAGTCTAGTTTGTTTAACTTGATATAACTCTTCAAGCTATTCTCGAAATATAATAATTGTTTTCTACATATAGGCCTATACAATTTAGTAATGTACAGTGTTGATTGTATTGTGATGAAAATTAATAATGATGTTAACATGTATACAATTGTTATTATTAATGTGTTATAACTTAATATTACTCATTTGATATGTAAAGGTTATTGCATGGTTTTCCAGTAACAAGGGATTTATTACACCCGAGCGAAGCGAGGGTGTAATAAGTCCCGAGTGACGAGAAATCATGCAATAACTGGCTTACTGCATGCTTCCCAACTCGAACAAAACAGAAAAGTTGAGTAAAAAATGTTCACCTGGACAATCTTTTTACCTACCCTACACTGTAGATAATTTACATGTACCTATGTGAGTGAGTACTAATCATAACCAGGTAAGGTTCTCAATAGCCCAGTCTGAGTGTATCCTTCATAATGGATACAAGTGTTTTTGGATTACTATCCAGGTCCAGTATCAGGGAAGGTAAGGAGTGTCTGTTCAAAATACGGGAAACAATGTTGAATTTCTGACTACATTTTCAGTTTAATTTTCAAGATGTGGCAAAGGTACAGGATATTGAAACCATTTTCATATATACAATGTAAGGGTTTATCAATCCCTAAGGAATTCCAGTTCTTTCAATGAATGGTATATTTGAATGTGCAATTTTGTATAAAGGAACAGCTCCTTAAGATTATAAACTTTTCCGGGAAATGCTTATCCTCTCACGTGATAAGGAAATCTGTTTGTGTTTTTCAATCATGAAATTACCATTTTTAACTTTCATTTTTTCCCCTTATTTGAAATGTGTCAACTAAGTTTATCCTCTACTGTATTGACTTCATCGTTACTCACTGATTGATTATCTCCCCTTTCTTACAGCATTTGTGGCCACAGTCCACTGGGCACACCCCCTTTCATGGTCATGTAATCATGATTGGCCTTGAAAGGGGATTATGTGTGCAGTGGACTGTGGTAGCAAGTGATTTATTGCCCACACTTTTCCATTGTGAGAGGTGGGAAGTATGCAGTAATGTGATATCCACACTGAATACCCAGTGTTACCTGTACATGGGTACTCAGGTGAATAGGGCACCTGCCTAGGTGTGTGTAGTCATGCGCGAGTGGGCATGCCCTTTGACACAAGCCCAAATAATGGTACATTCATATTGTATGTCACTGCAGTTTTAGCTAACAGTGACCATTGGTTGAAGTCCTAGAAGGCCACCAACCAGAACCCTAAATTAGGATGTGGTTGACTTGTATAAGTCTACATGTACAGGTGTACCAAGTAGCTCTGATAGAGGGTTCATCTGGTACTTGGTATGTAGCTACCAGGTGTCAGCACAAAGTGGTACCAAGTTCTCAACAGTGTCGTCTGGTTAATTGGTGGCAGGCCTAGGCCTACACCATGGTCACTGGTGATTTACCAATATAATTTAATTTACTTACATGATTTAAATATGCCAACCTAGAAATAATAATAAAAGATCAATTTGAGACAATTAATTGTTTTCTTGTTCTTGAATAGACCATCACGGACCTATTGAAGTGTGTGACAACCAGAAAACGTTACATTGGCGCCCAACGTGTAACGTTTTTTTGTTCTTGAGCAGACCATCACTGACCTATTGAAGTATGTGACGACCAGAAAACTTGACAGTATTTACAGCTGAGTAGACTAGAACAAGCGGAGTAAAGTATCTTGCTCAGAGATGCAATACAGTGCCATGCCGTGACTCGAACCCGCAATTGGTCTCAGGTAAAAAAAACACATACCAATCGCTAGGCTGATACCTGTCCTTTGAAGATTACAAAGGAGAGACGCCCGACTTCAAAGCCTGTCAATTTTTACCGTTACGTGACCCTGTCAATTTTTACCGTTACGTGACCGCAAGATTATTTTGATGTACATCAAAGGATCGAACTTGTCTTCTTGTCTCATCAACAAAGTGGCGCGACATATTCCAGGCGTGTAGAGAGCAAAAGTGAGCGTAACCCCTGGATATCGAGGATGGAGCCCGGCGTCCTACCACTAGACTACCGTGCCTCTTATATATAGGAGTAAGAATTGGTCTAGGGTGGATGTTGCGGTATCTGTGCTGTATGTGGTATTATAAATGATACCGTTGGAAGCACGGTTTGTAGTGGTACAAACATAACAGAATACATCTCCAGGACACACGGAGGCATACACACATAGGGATATATTAGGAAGGTGGCATATGACTAGTAGTTAGCGCATGTAAGGCAGCTCATGCAAATTCCTTAAAATTGTATTGATTAATGTATAATCTAATTGTATTGATTGTAATATGTATATATATATATGTACTGTAAAGCGTTTTTAGTGGCTTATTCTAGTTAGATAGGGCGCTATATCAAATGTTGTATATTATTAATAATAATTTTGAATATCTTAAGTCGGAAATCAATATAAATATGAAAATAACAAAATGTTTCAAAGAGAACATGTTTAAATGCAAATGACTTTAAAGCAATAACAGAAGATCAACGCACAAAGCTCAGAAATTATATTCGTGGTACAGCGACTTGATTTCCTCATCGGCTGTATAACCTTTTGACAACGTTTGTAATTCTACCAATATATTGTCGATGCCACTCTCAGCTGATGACTTGCACTGGACAGAGTACTCGGAAATGAAGTTATATGATTTGTACTGTATATAGATGGAATGCGCGAAACCTGCCATTCATTTTGTGAGAAGATATTCACAAGTCTTTGACAGTCTCTTGGTACAATTATTGTATATGTGTCGAGTTTAAAACAGAGTTAATCACATACCCACATCTTCTTTTGGATAACATAAGTACCATATTACATTACAAATATAGTTACGTAATCGAGAAACTGAAATAGTTGTTGAAAAAACAATAACCTGGAATAGATTATGTAGTAAGTAAATTACAAGCCAAACCCATGGTCACAAATCTTGTTGCTATATGGTTTATAAATGTGCTTGCCGCTTTCGATTCCCAAAGTAGGCATGCCCTAAAACTACAGGTAATGGGTTACCAAGTCTGCTAACACGAGGCAAGTGTTCGTTTTACATAGGACACATACAGGAAAGAATGATATCGGAAATTATTATAAATCGGAAATTTGAAGACACCGGCGGGCACAGTTGGATATTCAGATGATCTGTAAATCCGAGGGTGAAGCGTAATGCAGAAAGAATGCCAAACAATGAAGATTTTGATCTGTCACGTGTTTCACCATGATTTCACGAAATATCTCCTTATCCAGTATATCATGTTTGCCACAGTTTTCCGGTCCAACTTGACTATTGTTTCAAGATTTTCTTGTCCAAAACGTTATATTGATCTGGCTTATTGTTTTTGAGAAGATCTTCTGAAATAAACCCAACATGAAAATTTCATACGTGAGTGGTCAATCGGGAAATTTATTACTTAGTCAAGTTGGACTATTTCCAGGATGTAGTGAAAGGGGAAAACAAATCGCTTTTGAGTTTATTCAACTCAAGCGGGGGGATATATATACATCAAATAGCCGCATGCATTTAAAACCCCGTGATTTTAATTGTATAGGTATTACCTCTATTTGCTTGTAATAAAAATCATCTAAAACGTTTAAAAAATGAGAAGGTTTTTTTACCTGATACCTATCAAACAACTATCTTCGTGCCATCAATTTTGCTATGACATATTCCAGGGGTGCAGAGAGCAAAAGTGAGTGTTACCCCTGGATATCGAGGATGGACGGTCTCATACCATATAGTTGATACGGTCTGCCATAAGGATTACGCTCACTTTGCTCCCTGCACAGCGAAATTAAGCAACGTCTAAATGACCTAAGCTCTTTACCGACACCCTTTATGCTGTATCTCCCGTATAAGCATCAAGCAAAAGCAAAAGTGATCATTGACTGTTCAGGAAGGACCATTTACAATAAACTTTTGACAGTATATGCCCTGTTCTATTTTAAGAAACGGCAACGTTGACCTTCGAAATTTTTCAAAGCCCTATTCGTTTCATATAGAGTAAAAGTGGAAAATGAACTTTGCGTTGCGCACATTTTGTTATCTTTACTCAAAAGAGTAACATATGTAGGATAATACTAGTAAACCGAAAGGGTTCTATTTACTACTAACTCGTTTTGAAAACAGAAGTGTTCATTCCCAACAGGTCATTGTCAGTAAAACAGATACTTGATCTACATATTTACCATAATCGCGATTTTTAGATAGACTGTATCATAAAAACAGACAATTCTGCGACAAATGCTATACAATTTTTTTTCTGATCGTATATGAAAATAGGCATTTTGTCTCGAGCGGAAATCTTTTAGAACCAATGCATTCAAAAACAATATTTATACTTCAAACTTTTAAACAGTATTAATAGGTTTAGTTTTAGAAAAGTATTTTTTCATCGACTAATGCATATCTACAGTACAAAACATTCGTTCTTCAGCACCACAACAAAGATACTCCCTCGCCTGTATCTCTTTAAAATTGAGGATCATATTGTAACGTATAATGTTATCTTGTCAGCCAGAAATACAAATCAAATTTTACAGTATATTCAATTGAAATGATATGTTATTTGTACTTAACTACTATTAATTTGATCTTTATTTGTGAAGAAAAAATCATTAGGGTATGTTGCATTAAACAAGAAGTCCAGAGTGCCTGTATCGATCACCTGAATATTTAAGCAGCCATAGCAAAATATTCTCATTAGATATTTTATTGCACTACAAATATTTCCATCGCAAACTTTGTCGGCTCTATCTGTTGAAACTACCAGCCAAAACATATTGCAAGATTCTATGCTTTTTTGTTTTTATTCAGAAGTTGTTTGACATATTTTCCCCTGTGACCTTGTAGGTAGGTCAATGTAATTTTCCTTCTCAAACTTTGTTAGCTCTATCTCAAAAAGCTACCAGCCAAATCTTATGAATCCATTCCTTTTGGTTCTTCAGAACAAATTGTTTGAAATGTTGTTGACCTCTGTGACCTTTAAAGTAGGTTGAGGTCATTTCCATTTGCAATCTTTTGTGAGATCTATCCCAGGAAGCCACCAGCCAAATATTATAATTTTATGCCTTTCGATTATTCAGAAGAAGTCATTTGATGTTTTTGACATATTTCACACCTGTGACCTTGAAAGTAGGTCAAGGTCATTTTCATTCTCAAACTTTGTCGGGCTCTATCTCAGGAAGCCACCAGCCAAATATGAAGATTCTATACCTTTTAGTTCTTTAAGAGAATTCGTTTGAAGCGTTTGGCATTTTTGACCACTGTGACCTTGAAAGTAGGTCAAAGTCATTTTCATTCTCAAACTTTGTCGGGCTCTATCCCAGGAAGCCACCAGCCAAATATAAAGAATCTAAACCTTTCATTTCTTCAGAAGAAGTTGTATGAAAAGTTTGACACATTTGACCACTGTGACCTTGAAAGTAGGTCAAAGTCATTTTCATTCTCAAACTTTGTCGGGCTCTATCCCAGGAAGCCACCAGCCAAATATAAAGAATTTAAACCTTTCATTTCTTCAGAAGAAGTCGTATGAAAAGTTTGACACATTTGACCGCTGTGACCTTGAAAGCAAGTCAAAATCATTTTCATTCTTAAACTTTGTCGGGCTCTTTACCAGGAAGCCACCAGCCAAATATAAAGACTCTATAACTTCCAGTTCTTCAGAAAAAGTCGTATGAAAAGTTTGACACATTTGACCCCTGTGACCTTGAAAGCAAGTCAAAATCATTTTCATTCTTAAACTTTATCGGGCTCTATCCCTGAAAGCCACCAGCCAAATATGAAGCTTCCAAACCTTTTAGTTCTTGAGAAGAAATAGTTTGAAGCGTTTGACATATTTGACTGCTGTGACCTTGAAAGTAGGTCAAAGTCATGTTCATTCTCAAACTTTGTCGGGCTCTATCCCAGGAAGCCACCAGCCAAATATAAAGAGTCTAAACCTTTCAGTTCTTCAGAAGAAGCCGTATGAAAAGTTTGACACATTTGACCCCTGTGACCTTTAAAGTAGGTCAAAGTCATTTTCATTCCCAACTTTGTCACGCTCTATCCCAGGAAGCCACCAGCCAAATATAAAGACTCTATACCTTCCAGTTCTTTAGAAGAAGTCGTTTGAAGTGTTTGACACATTTGACTCCTGTGACCCTCAAAGTAGGTCAAGGTCATTTACGTTCTCAAACTTTGTCGGGCTCTATCCTCAGGAAGCCATCAGCCAAATATGAAGATTCCATACCTTTTAGTTCTTCAGGAGAAGTGGTTTAAAGCATTTGACATATTTGACCACTGACCTTGAAAGTAGGTCAAGGTCATTTTAATGAGGAAACTTTATAGCACTCCATCCTAGGTACCTACTGACAAAATATCATGACCCTATGCTTTATGGAACTTTAGAAGAAGATTTTTAACATATTTGACACATGTGACCTTGAAAGTAGGTCAAGTAATGAGGTCAAAGATAAACTTTAAGTGCTAGTCAGGGGTCAAAGGTCAATGTGCATTTAAAGCTTTAACAATCTTCTTCTCGAGTTCCATAAGGTCCAGGGTCATGATATTCCACCATCACTATCACTATTCAGGAGTTGCTTCACTTCTCCTTTATTTATTTAACAACAAAATTCGTGGAATTCATATCCCCACTTTAAGGTCATATATCAGATGAAGTGTTTTTGTTGAGAGTTACTTGAAACATATGCTAGTATGGAGAATTAAGAGCAGACAAAACAGAAAATGTTTCTCAGAAATGCTGGTAGGCCTTCAGGTTGTTTCAAAATGGTTAGTGGGTCAGAATTAACTATAGTATGAACTGTAACAGCCTAGAATAGCTCAAGGGGGTTTACGTATAAGCCAAATTTCATTGGTCAATCATGCCACTATGGAAACTTTTCATTGGAGAATTTTAAAGTATCGGTATACAATATATATAGGTTAGACCTATTGATATCCTAAGCTTCGATAGTCTGGGAATAAGACAAGGTGCAGTTATTTGTCCTTGTCTATTTAATGTATAGAAATCAATTACAGGAGAGAAGTTTAGGTTCTCTGAAAACATTATTTTTCTTACAAAATGGATCTGTTACAAGAGTGATTTCCCTTTGATCATTAGTAGGGAAAGTTAAATTCTGATATAGAGATTGCTTCTCTTGCCCATATTCCAAATCATTATGAACAATGTTAGACACCTTAAAAATGAGACGTATTACAATATATGCAGTCACTGACTACACGACAAGGTTACTATCAATTGTTAGGGTTTTTGAAAACCTTTACTTATAATTAACTAATTAATGAATTGTTTTTAATTATGCGTAAATTTCAACTGATCACATTGACAAGTGGATGGAGCCTGAAACATGTTAATATGTAAGTGCACACCAAATCTTGCTGAAAAGATTTAGTGAAAACTACAACACTTATAGGTCAGTTAGGGCCATGTTCCTGATCATACCCCATGGTATACTTTTAGTAACAGTGACCTTGAACTTGACCTTAAAACCTTCAAGAACTTTCTAATGCACATGTTGGCTCTAAATGATTCGTTTAACGATGGGCCATAAAACAATACAAAATCAAACCCTTACTGCACAACTACGTATCACAGTGTATAACTCTCTCAAATTTCTTAATGATTCGTCTTGATTTCTGAGGTAATCTCTGGCAAGCAAGTGTGGATAGATGGGTGGAAGGACAGTCAAGAGGAAATATACTACAATATACCTGCATCTCTGACACGGGTCCTTAAAAATGTTGGTTAGAAGAAAAAGTTCTCTTGTCTTGGCATCATGTCACCATGGTGGTCTATATTATCATTATATAGTACATGCACTCTAGTTCATTTCACCATGCTTCACAATACAATGCCACACCAGTATAGAACAAGCACATAGTATAGAACTTCACATACAATTGTATTTAGATTTACCCCTTTGCCCTCGGTGGGGCTAGACCCCCGATTTACACATCAATAATCCCCATTGTCCGTCCAACAACAATGCTCCGGGCCAAATCAAGTCAAAATCCACCAATCTGTTCTTGACTAGTAGCATTTTAAAAGAAAAGATGACAGACAGATGAATGGATGATGACGCTGTGCTCTGCATACAAGGTCACATGGGTGTTTGTGACCAGGTGAGGTAATACAATTTTGTTATAAAATTAAAAATCATTGGTTTCAAATATAGTAAATTTTATATCTATTTCAATATCTTACTTTCAGCTATCAAAGGTAACATGACTTTGATGATCCATTTGTTTCACCTGTGCCTGTGTTATAATCGCTCTCTAAGAAACCTTCCTGTAGGTCACTTCCTGTTAAATGTTGAGTGTTTCTCTGTGCATGTCAGAGATACTGTATCAACCTCATTTCTTGAAAGAGATCACAAAAACTTATGACTTTTACATGCATTTAATAATGTTTTCAGCAAAATACACTTATACTGCTGTTGTATTCAAGATGCACAGACATTTTGTCCGACACATTATCAATATTGAACACATCTGTATATATTTTCAGACACTAAAGGCACATTCACATTTTAAACTTTCTGATCTATACTTTGTAAGTCACAAGCACTTTCACATTTTTCCTCTGTGGTACTTTCTGGTTTCTCATCTTTCTGTAGGGAACGGACAACCTCAGTATCTGGGTTACTGTCTCTATCATCAACATCAGCATCACTTAGGTTTTCAATTTTATTATTTTCTTCTTTGTTTTCTTCGGTTTTTTCCTCCTCCTCTTCGTCATTGTCCTCCTCCTCCTCCTCCTCCTCCTCCTCCTCCTCACCTTCCTCCTCCTCCGAGCTTAAACAAAGGTACAATTACATAAGATTAAAACTGGTCATGTGATACACAAATTGGTCCCATTCATAGTGAATTAGTAAGTTATAAGAAATATGTAAAATGTGGGTAACATTTTGAATGAATTCAGTAGAAACAAAATTTATGGTTAAAGTGTTAAACGAAAGAATGATGTATAGGTCAAGGTCACTATTTTTTCTCTCAAAAATCAATGGTTCTGAAGGTATGATATGGACAAGAAAATGATATTTTTAGTAAGTGGCCTTGATCTTTGATGGACCACACCAAAAATCAATTGGGCTGATCTTACTTGTTCCCTAAGGGAACCTACATACCAAGTTTGAGATCTTAATTGTTCCCTAAGGGAACCTACATACCAAGTTTGAGCTTTGATTATTCGTTCTGAAGTTAGCATCTGGACAAAAAATGTCAACAGATGGATAAACATCACATGTGGTTGCTATATTTCTGTCACAGGCCCTATTGATGTATTTTTGACTGGCCTACTAAACATACCTGTCACTGGGCCACTGGTGAAGGGGGCGGTTTGGATTGTATCCGTCTAAGTCCATATCTAAGTCTGTCATATCTGAAAAAGAGTACCACCATACAGTGAATCTGTCATACCTGTAACAAATACTGTAACCTGTCATACCTGTAACAGTACCTCAGTACCACCATACAGTAAATCTGTCATACCTGTAACAATTACTGTAACCTGTCATACCTGTAACAGTACCTCAGTACAACCATACAGTAAATCTGTCATACCTGTAACAGTACCTCAGTACAACCATACCGTAAACTGTCATACCTGTAACAATGACTGTAACCTGTCATACCTGTAACAGTACCTCAGTACCACCATATAGTAAATCTGTCATACCTGTAACAGTACCTCAGTACCATCATACAGGAAATCTGTCATACCTGTAACAATTACTGTAACCCGTCATACCTGTAACAGTACCTCAGTACCACCTTACAGTAAATCTGTCATACCTGTAACAGTCCCTCAGTACAACCATACAGTAAATCTGTCATACCTGTCACAGTACCTCAGTACAACCATACAGTAAATATGTCATACCTGTAACAGTACCTCAGCACTACCATACAGTAAATCTGTCATACCTGTAACAGTATCACCATACAGTAAATCTGTCATACCTGGAACAGTACCTCAGTACAACCAGACAGTAAATCTGTCATACATGCAACAGGACATCAGTATCACCATACAGTAAATCTGTCATACCTGGAACAGTACCTCAGTACAACCAGACAGTAAATCTGTCATACATGCAACAGGACATCAGTATCACCATACAGTAAATCTGTAATACCTGTAACAGTACCTCAGTACAACCATACAGTAAATTTGTCATACATGCAACAGGACATCAGTATCACCATACAGTAAATCTGTCATACCTGTAACAGTCCCTCAGTACAACCATACAGTAAATCTGTAATACCTGTAACAGTACCTCAGTACAACAATACAGTAAATCTGTCATACCTGTAACAGTATCACCATACAGTAAATCTGTCACACCTGTAACAGTACCTCAGTACCATCATACAGGAAATCTGTCATACCTGTAACAATTACTGTAACCTCTCATACCTGTAACAGTACCTCAGTACAACCATATAGTAAATCTGTCATACCTGTAACAGTCCCTCAGTACAACCATACAGTAAATCTGTAATACCTGTAACAGTACCTCAGTACAACCATACCGTAAACTGTCATACCTGTAACAATGACTGTACCCTGTCATACCTGTAACAGTACCTCAGTGCCACCATATAGTAAATCTGTCATACCTGTAACAGTACATCAGTATCACCATACAGTAAACCTGTCATACCTGTAACAGTACCTCATTACCACCATATAGTAAATCTGTCATACCTGTAACAGTATCACCATACAGTAAATCTGTCATACCTGGAACAGTACCTCAGTACAACCATACCGTAAACTGTCATACCAGTAACAATGACTGTAACCTGTCATACCTGTAACAGTAACTAAGTACAACCATATAGTAAATCTGTCATACCTGTAACAGTATCACCATACAGTAAATCTGTCACACCTGTAACAGTACCTCAGTACAACCATACAGTAAATCTGTCATACATGCAACAGTACATCAGTATCACCATACAGTAAATCTGTCATACCTGTAACAATTACTGTAACCTGTCATAGCTGTAACAGTACCTCAGTACAACCATACAGTAAATATGTCATACCTGTAACAGTACCTCAGCACTACCATACAGTAAATCTGTCATGCCTGTAACAGTACCTCAGTACCACCATACAGCAAATCTGTCATACCTGTAACAGTACCACCATACACTGAATCTGTCATACATGTAACAGTACCTCAGTACAACCATACAGTAAATATGTCATACCTGTAACAGTACCTCACTACCACCATACAGTCAATCTGTCATACCTGTAACAGTACCACCATACGGTGAATCTGTCATACATGTAAAAGTACCTCAGTATCACCATACAGTAAATCTGTCACACCTGTAACAGTACCACCATACAGTGAATCTGTCATACATCTAACAGTACCTCAGTATCACCATACAGTAAATCTGTCACACCTGTAACAGTACAACCATACAGTAAATCTGTCATGCCTGTAACAATTACTGTAACCTGTCATACCTGTAACAGTACCTCAGTACAACCATACAGTAAATCTGTAATACCTGTAACAGTACCTCAGTACAACCATACAGTAAATCTGTCATACCTGTAACAGTACCACCATACAGTGAATCTGTCATACATGTAACAGTACATCAGTATCACCATACAGTAAATATGTCATACCTGTAACAGTACCTCAGTACCACCATACAGTCAATCTGTCATACCTGTAACAGTACCTCAGTACTGCCTGTAACACACATTCAGATGTAAGTTAGCAATATTGAGAATATATAAGGTAATGTTATAAACCTATATTGTGTTGTGAGGTTCGCTCTTCTTGTATCCGGTCCAAATAATCCTGCTGGGCGAGCACTACTGCGGCGCCATCTTTACATGCGGCATATAAAGACAGCACTTCCTCGTTCACTTTGTAGAAAGAGCCGCCCCACTTAAACTTTCCAAGCAACACCTCACCTAATTCCTTAAAACCTGCAAAACACAAAAGTGTTACATATGTACTGTGAAATCGTTTAACTCATAAAATACACAGGTATTGAAAATAGAACATAATAGGCCTACCAAAAGTTCTAGCTCTTAGGAATAATAATAACATCAGGTGTTACAAAGAACTACAGTTTAAAGTAAGGCTCCTGTACTAATCATTAATACACAAGGCCTTGGTTTATGCTGTTGTATAACGTATGGTTCATGGTGAAGAAGAAGTTGCATTCAACCAGGTGGATTGTGTTACCTGTTTTTTTAACTTGCTTTGGGCAAAATTGGAACTTGATGAAGATCGAAATATTGCTAAAAGTTCCTTGCCTCAATTTCATAAATATTTCTCAACTGTTCAAGTGTTCCCATTGTTGAAGTAAAGCACAATACTTTGATCTTAAGATATTCCTGAGTGAAGTTCTACCTCATGGAGTTTTGAGTATCTGTTTACTACATGACATATATTACGATCAAGTGAGTTACTTAAACTTCAAAGGATGAGAGAAAGACTTCAGATATTTTGTATCAAATTCACAACAATGCGATTCCTGTTTACTCTGACCCTTGTTAAGTCTTCAGCATCACCGTAACTCATGTCTGTTTATCTTTAATCTCCTGTCACAATGTTCAGACATCAAATCTATGGTCTTAATTCTGACATCACAACGGGTGATATTTATGATGTAGGATGTAAAACTACAGGTAAGGAGACTGTGTACATACCTGTGATATACAGAGCTGCTGCGTAGGCCTCCACACACGACAGTGTACATGGCTTGCCGTAGTTGATAGGGTTAGTCGCGATGAGGTACGGTAATAGGCGCGGGTATCCTCCCTTCATTTTATCAAAAGGCGTTTCTTCAAGCTTTGCCCAGGAGCAGTCAACGACTGCCAGCCCGTAACTCCCAATGATATTTCTGTAACAGTTCAATAATCCAGACTTAATGTAATAGCACTAATAATCAGGTAAAAGTGAGTATCATATCTGACCTAATAAGCCACCTTTCTTTTCAGTATCCCTGTTCTAAAGTGTCCCATCTAATTTGATAGATGGGTTGTCAGGTAGCACTCTTGCCTTCCACCAAAATGTCAAGGGTTTCACTCTATGATTGGACATGTTCTTCCTGAACATGTGGGTTCATCCAGATACACCGGTTTCCTTCCACATTAAGATCCTCTGTGCACTTCCATCCGCACGAACAAGAGTGATTAATAAAAGTTGAAAGAACTTATTTTATAATTATTGTAAAATAAATAAACTTTATATTCTTATTTGATATAATTGTACATGCAAGGCAATTCTGTAGACCCTAACAACATACCAGCAATGGAAGCTGAAGTTCTGTGTTAGGAAGTATATATATATATGGATCACTTGTATGTGTCTGACTGGCTCATTTCAACAGCTGACAAATGGAGTGTGGCTTACCACTAGATTACCTCTCCTTGTCTACCAGAATACCTATATTGGGTAATTTTTGACAATCTTCGTTCAAATGTCAAGAAATCTACCATCCCAATACAAATTCAGCAAATGTTTAATCTAAAAAAAAAAGAAGTTATCAGAAGTCTCTGATGATTTACCTTCTGTAGATATCAATATCGAAGATTATTTAAAGTTTTACCTGTCTTCTGCAGAGACACACTTCTTTCCCATCGGTGACAGAATTAAGCCATTAAATTTTTGTTTAAGACTTAGTGTTTTAACATATCCCAGACGACCAAGTTTCCGACCACTACACTTTTTTGGATCACATTGTTCTAAGTCCCACATGGAAAGGCTGAAGGGGAATTTACCGTCTTCAGCTTCTTCTGTAAATAGAAATGTTCATCTAATATATAGTTCACCGAGTATCTGTTTGACTTTGCATTCTTTGAGGAAGAGTTTTATGAATGGCAAATGATACTTCCATAAATAGCAATTTATTGGTTGATTATGTTAACTTTTATTATTTCACTATTTTTATTTAGACTATTTTAAAATGATTTCCTTGTATTCACATACAAACTCATGAAACTTGAAGTTGACACACCATGACTTTACCAAAGGCTACCGCCAGATCAACAAAAGTGTGTATTCCTACCCAAAGCCTGCGACATATCCGCCAGGAACTCGGGGTCCTCCATCTTTTTCTGTCTCTGTCTTGAACGGTCATGTTTGTACAAAGCTTTGCCTTTTCCTCTGTGCTGTGTTTTTTTCTGGTGAGCCATGTCACCCTTCAGAACTCCTAAACCTAAAATTTACAAGATGTTTGATTAAATCTGCCCCGAGATAATTCAGACAAAATTAAGCTGATTCATCATAAGCCGAATCAGACAACAGCCTCCACCAGCAAACTGATTAAGGCTATAAATATTGTCAAACTCACACCAGCTCTAACGATAAATTCTACCAAAAAGGAAAAACTTGTAACTGTGGCAGATATTTCCAAGCATAGAGCATATATACTGTCAAACTTATGTGGCAGAGGTAGTACTATATTTGTTGTTTGAATTTCAGAGTTAAAGATGTTTGCAAATTTTGACACTGTCTTCGCACACACCTCAAGGTAGTTTGTATTTTCTAGATTATTTTGAAGTTTTAAGTAAAATTCGAGTATTTTGTTACAGAACTTTTTTTTAACATTACTAACAAGTCTATTATTGACATTGGGAATAAAGTGAAATAATAACAAATTAAGTTCTTTTAAATATTACGAACGAAAAAAAAGGTGTCATTTTACAACTGAAAATATAGTAATAGCTCTGCCACATAAAAATCTGAATAACAAATATCAATATCGCACTTAATGTAAATATAAGGATAGAATCATGTTTTTTTGTTGAGGGTATAAACTTATGTTATAGGAGTACTGTAAACAGTAGATGTTACAAAAATTTAAGATTATTGCCAATGCCTGTATATGGGATTAACGTTGTGCACAAACTGTATTATAAATATGTCTGATGACTTTGTAGCATTCATTTACATTTACAGCGATTCTGCAAAGGGCCGTCAAACAGCATCAACTTGCAGGTAGACTTGTGTTGCGTGGCTTCCACATAAATTCGTTAAAAACAGGTTAAAAAGTTAAAACTATTTACAGGATCCACATTCACTCTGCAAGATGACTGTGGAGCGAGGTCTTGAATGCCTCCACAGTCAGCTGCTCGACGACCTCTGATGGTAGTCTAGTCCATTCCATTCATGATGGTGTTTGGAAAGAAGCTGTATTTGTAGGTGTCGGTGTTGCATCGTATGTTGATATAGCCGTGGTTATGTTGTCTCCTTCCACTATTGGTGTTACTACTGATATATGGTGGTATGATCAGTGCGTTGGTGTTGTGGATGCCTTTGTAGAGGTTGGTTAGTCGACTTTCCTTCCGTCTCTGCTGTAGGGGTGGCCAGTGTTACTGTAGCTCGTTCAACATCCTGGTTACACTACTGTAACGCGAGTAATCGCTGGTTGTAAATTGAGCTGCTCACCACTGCACTCTTTCTATTGACTCCTGTTGGTATTTCTTATGTGGATCCCAGACTGAAGCTCCATATTCAAGATATGGTCGGATTAGGGTCAGGTAGGCCTTCTCTCTCACTTCCTGTTTGCATTTTCTAAGGTGGCGCCTCAGGAAGGATAGTAATCCGTTAGCCTTTGTGCTCATCTGGTTGATATGTTGCTTCCAGTCCAGGTTGTTGGCTATTTCCACTCCAATGTATGCGTTGTGCTCTACTACTTGGAGTGTACTCCCATTGATGTTATAGTCGGCTCCTGTTGTTATGTTGGTTCCGGATCTCTTCATCCTCATCGTGTAACACTTCTTGGCGTTGAATTTCATCAGCCACATGTTCGACCAGCTGACCACTTTGGCTAAGTCCTCCTGTAGCTCATGGTGGGTGTCTGTGACGGAGTCAATGATCCTGAATAGGAGGCAATCATCTGTGAATAGCTTGACAATAGAGGTGATTGCTGCGCCGATATCGTTGATGTACAGAAGGAACATCAGGGGACCCATTCCCATATATATATGCGAGTGTTTTGTAGGATTTACAATTACAAATATACCAGCAAGGCCATCAAAATGATTTTGATTGGTTAAATGAAGATGTTGACGAGCTACATTTCTAAGACTTAAAGTGGGATCTCAAAATGTTAGGAAGTCTCCAACTTGGCCCACATGTACTAGCCTCGTCTGTCAATACACCTATATTATGATTTAGGTATATTGACAGTCGAGGCTAGTACCTGTACTTGGCCCAAGTTAAAAGCTTGAGACCTGAAAAACGTGCCTTAAAACTATTGCTATGCGTTTGGATCTACATACCACCTAGTGTCTTCAAGACAGCATAGGAACCATAACCTCTTTAGTCCTGACAGGTGTTACGTTTCACTATACTTATGCAACATCCCGTGAAATACGTATACTTGACAGTCAGGACATTGTAAGCGTGTCCGCTTATGGGGGCAACCATTAATGTAAAGCTATCGTTTACAGTACTATACAAGTTTGTTTCGTATTTTCCTAAGTGATATTACTACTTTATAAATTGCTTATAGATTATCTACTATAAATCTCAAATGCAAATACTTTAAGTGATTGCGTTATGAATAATAATTAATCATATGTTTATAAAGCTCAAACTATTGACCAATCAAATGTTCGTATTTAGTGGGTGTGTCACTACATGTTAAGGATCCCTGACCCGTCGCGTTTCGGGCTGAACGGCTGAATGACTTTTGACCAAATCATTGATGTGGAACAATCTGGGGCTTAATTTTGTAATTTTATTTAGAACATATTCATTGTTGTAATAACATAAGGAAGTAATACATTTTATAATGGGATCATTTTTGTGGTTTAATTTACTGCTGAGTAGCGTCTCTGTGTTAAGAGAGAAAAATTCGACATATTTACGGTTACATGCGGTCGTCTCTTCTTTAATTTTACCTGCGATATTTCATGAAAGTAAGTCCTTATAAAATCAGCTAATAATAATAATAATAGATTTATCACAGTATTTAGCTTATCACATCAAAGTTAATATCACAAATTTTGGAGCACTATAATTACAATTAATGTATCTGTTTGACTAAGCTTTAACCTAGGATATCCCATGAAAGCTGGGTGGCAGCTTATTTCCAATGGGGTCCTCAAGTATAGATCTTAATTACTTAGATAACAAAAGGTCCTAAGGATTTGACCTTATAATATGAATATAAGATGGTATAATTTCTCGTAATAATATATATATGGATAGAATAAGTTGTAATTGGTCAAATATGATGATGATATATTATTTCATCAAAATGAGATGTTATTTTATTTGACGGTATAAGATGGAGTTGTCATTAGCAAATATGATTTCCTTCTGATAATATTTATATGTGGGGCTATGCATGATGTTGTTTCCACTTGTAATATTAAAATATCAGTTATATGTACCACTGTACATATCATAAAGTAAGATGATGTCATTCTTGCAGATATTAAGTAACAATATAAGATATACATTTATACTGTGGTACTTGTGTGTAGAACAGACAACAGGTAGCCATGGTTGGACAATCCCTACCAACCTATTATCTGTCTAACAAATTATAGCAATTTGGGGTATAATACATATATAAAAATGACTTTTAATAAAATAAAGATTGAGGATGATGGTAATAAAATGTTCCATAGCTATTCTGCTTGCAGATAGGCCTAATTTTATTCATAAGTGGTTCCGATATTGCTTCCGCAAAAGACGGAATATTTCCTTCTACGAGCCTAAAAGTAGTCTTTCCTTGAAGCAGCGCCATCTGCAGTCTCTTTAGATAACTACTATCGTTCTTTTAGCGCGATGTCGGACTCGAGCTCTGACGAGGGCAGTGGTCCCGTCTCGTGGACGCCCTATTGCCAGCGGGATGAGTGGCGTGACGTGGTGCCCGTCCCCCAGGATGACGGACCACACCCTGTCGTACAGATTGCTTACTCCGATAAATGTGAGTGGGGCGGGAAGACGGTCTATGGTGTTTAGTTTTCTGTGTTTTGCTATTTGTTTGTTGTCATGACCATTTATAGTCGAGTGACCTCACGTGTGGTTTCTTGACCGAAATTTTATCCGCGGTCCGGGGCTGTGCCGGTCTCACGAAGTTAGGCATTCCGGAATGATGATGAGGCTAATGATTAGGAGCATATACCATTTTGTCAGATAAGAATGAGTTTTGACAGGATCGACGGGTTTTGTTGACATTAATTTATACTTGAATTATATAAGGTTATATTCTGAAACGACGCGAAGTTGTGCGAAATAATTGTCCATGCAACTTCTCCTTAACTAACAGGTGGATTTCATTGAAACTTTGCTTGGATGATCGGTATCTTATGTAGTTGTACACTGGCATTTACATTTGGGATTTCGACCCTTTTTGATGGAGTTATGCCCCTTTGTGCGAAATACTTGTCCATGTACCTCCTCCTTAACTAACCAGTGGATTTCAGTGAAACTTTGCATGAATGATCAGTATCTTATGTAGTTGTGCACCAGCATTTTGATTTGGGATTTTGACCCTTTTTATACGACCGTCAAATTTGACAGTAGTATTATGGTATGGCATTGTCCGTCCGGCATAAACTGTGTTTGTCCGGCAATCTCCTCCTACATTTTAACTGATTTATTTGAAACTTGGTTTACATGATAATCATGATATGAAGTTGTGTCTCCCTTAAAAGAATTTTGATTCAATAATTTTTCCAAAACAAGCAGACAAACACAAACATATCACAGCCTCCCAAAATATACACACATACACTACACACTGCACACAGGGAAGGCCGTCCTTAAATGAACTTAGCTGTTAACAGGACGTAAAACAAAATCAAACAAACAAACAAATTTTCCAAAAGTAATTGCCCTTTGTTCATTTCAATATTTGAATTTTGTCCGGAGATCTCCTACATTTTTCGACCAATCTCTTTGACACTTGGTATACATCTTAATCATGATATGAAGTTGTGTCTCCCTTAAAAGAATTTTGATTCGACAATTTTTACAAAAATTATTGCCCTTTGTTCGTTTCAGTATTTGATTTTTGTCGGGAAATCTCCTACATTTTTCAACGGATCTCTTTGAAACTTGGTATACTTTATAATCATGATATGAAGTTGTGTCTCCCTTAAAAGAATTTTGATTCAACAATTTTTGCAAAAATTATTGCCTTTTGTTCATTTCAGTATTTGATTTCTTGTCTGAAGATTTTCTCCTACATTTTTTATAGCATATCAGCTAACCACTCTTAGAATGATGCAGATCTTATTTCAATGTAAGAAAGTATATAACACTATAAGGCATTCGACGGGCGTATTTTGTTCCGCCCCGTGGTACACTTGTTGATGGAGTTATGCCCCTTTGTGCGAAATACTTGTTTTATTTAGATAAGCAAAAGCATGGGCCCCAAACCTCTTGGTTATACAGTGGAGAGCTCGTCAGGCTGGTCCCTAGAATTGGAGGAGTTATCTATTACATCTTTATATTGGAGGAGATATCTGCATTACATCTTTCAGCAAATTTAAAACTCTTCCATATGGGCTAACAAGTTTTGGTTTGCAAGTATGTTTTTGCATCGAGAGGGAGTACAAGAAGTATGTGATTGACCTATATACTAAAATAAGTGTACAGCTCAGCCAATAAAGAAATCATTACTGGTGGGAGACTATATTTCTTTGCATTAATTAGTAAGCCTTTAGCTTACAGTTCTGGTTTATATAGGAGCCGGGGTATTAGTTAGCCTTTGGCTTACAGTTCTAGTTAAAAATGACATGACCTGAAGCCAACGTCCAGTGTGGTTGGTTTCATCTTTTGGGAAAGCCTGTGATAAAAATAGCTAGTACAACCGAAATAGCTCAATATTCTGGCCTTTTAAGTGAGAAAACAAGTACAGCACTGCGCTAGCCTGTCGACCGACAACACAGTGTAAGGTTCACACATGACATATTCTTGAATTTACATAATACATCGCTAAAGAGAACTAAAAGTTTCATAATATATATATATATATACCTCTTATCAAATATTCCTGTTTGGATTTGAATTAAAACAAACAGGTTCAATTAGAGCATGCACGCACTGAGAGGGTGCCGCAGGGAGAATTTAAAACTGCAGAAAGTAGGATATCAATAGTTTTAAACGTAAAATAGGTCGCTCATTTATAGCGATATTTGAGATGCTGTTGGAAGATGGTTTCGATTAAGAATAAATGCATGCATGTACTTGAACTCCAGAGAGGCTTCATAAGGAGTATCAAACTAAATAATCGTTAAACAAATTGTGACAAGGTTATAAAAAATACTTATTTCACTAAATTGTCCCTTTAAAGGTTTGTGAATGTGATAAATCTCAGTACAATTACAGTAGTTATTTGAATTGTTTTGCAGTCAAAGACGTGTATGACTACTTCCGGGCTGTGATATCGAAGCATGAGATCAGTGAACGGGCACTCTGTCTTACCAAGGATGCTGCCGAGCTTAACCCCGCCAACTATACAGTCTGGTAGGTTCATGCCATCAGTTCTCGTTTTCCAGGTTTTTTTTACTCAATAACAGAGTTTTAAATAGACCTAATTTCTAAAACTATTTCAAAATATGGAACAATTCTCTTCTACGTAATAAACATGTCATTAAAAGATAAGAGAACTAAGATTTGTTCATAAAGTTTACCAGTGGCATCAGAAAGGATTTCAGAAACAGGTGATTCAATGTAATATTCAACAGTCTGAATTCTTCTTTTCAAATTCAAACAAATGTATGACTTCTTGTTGTCATTAATGTATTATTAATGACGGATTGTAGACTTGGTGTTAACATCAGGGATTTCTTGCCCGTCATAAGAGCCAACTATTTTTGTACACATTTCCCATACAAATCCAAATAACAGATATTAAATAAAATTGAGACTTCAATGGTTTCACTGAGAATATGTACGATTTCATTATTTTTAATCTGGAAACATGGTTTAAAAACTTCCAAGAAAATAAGTTTATTGGTGGGAAAAAGTTGCTTCACATAGATATGATTAAATGTTGTAAGTGATGTTGATGAGAGCTTCATCAATGAGACAATAATCAGATATTCAGATAAGCGTATTGGAGGCTTGCCCTTATTACTTATGTTATAATAACTTTGCCAACAGTTTCAGTGATGGCCATTTTGGCACTCTGCCTATTGATAGACATGCGATCATATCACATGTAACCACAGAGCCGTTTCTAGCTATTGTTGTATACGTATAGAAAATTGTTACATAGGTCAGACTTGTGAAAGTGTGTACTCCTATAATAATTTCCACAAAGGTTAAAAATAGTGGAAACATAGGGAGTGGGTCTGAAACATAGGGAGTGGGTCTGAATAACAAAGTCTTGTGTATATCAGGTAATCTCCCCTCTTGAGGATAGCGACATACAAATATTTTAACTTGAACATGATGACTAAAGTTAATATCGTTTGTAATAATTGTCCATCATGACTAAAATTGATTCTTTTGGATTTTCACAGGCATTATCGTCGAGTTCTACTGAAGGCATTGAAGAAAGATATTAAACCAGAGCTGAGCTACATATCTGATGTCATAGAAGATCACCCGAAAAACTACCAAGTGTGGTAAGTACTAAAACAGTTCATAGCTTGATTGGATGGCTATGTAATGTACTACATATGCTTTAAGGTTTGATAACTAATATTACAGGATTTCTGAATGTGACAAGCTAAGGGTTGATAACTAATATTACAGGATTTCTGAATGTGACAAGCTAAGGTTTGATGACTAATATTACAGGATTTTTGAGTGTGACAGACTAAGGTTTGGTGACTTATAGTACATGATTTCTGAGTGTGACAGACATGTGTTACAGGCATCACAGACGTGTTATGGTAGAATGGCTCAATGACCCATCAGTGGAGCTCAAGTTTACTTCACAGGTACTTGGAGGGGATGCCAAAAACTACCATGCATGGCAACACAGGTAAGCTAACATTATCCAACAAAAATATCACTACAGTTTAATATATGGTAACAAAGATTATAAATTTACCTGTTTGTTTGTTATTTTGTTGTTATTTGTTACAGACAGTGGGTCATCCAGCGCTTTGATCTGTGGGAGGGTGAGCTGGCCTATGTTGACACACTTCTACAGGATGACTTACGGAACAACTCGGCCTGGAACCAGCGATACTTTGTGGTCAGCAATACATCAGGTTTCACTGGGGAGAGGCTGGAGCAGGAAGTCAGGTACACATCAATGTTAGACAGGAAGTCAGGTACACACTAACGTTAGACAGGAAGTCAGGTATACACCAACGTTAGACAGGAAGTCCGCAACACACCAATATTAGACAGGAGGTCAGATACACACCAATGTTAGACAGGAAGTCAGATACACATCAATGTTAGACAGAAAGTCAGGTACACATCAATGTTAGACAGGAAGTCGGGTACACACCAACGTTAGACAGGAAGTCAGGTACAGACTGTTAGATAGGAAGTCAGATATACACCAATGTTAGACAGGAAGTCGGGTACACACTAATGTTAGACTGGAAGTCAGGTATTCACTAACGTTGGACAGAAAGTTGGGTACACACCAATGTTAGACAGGAATTCAGGTATACACCAACGTTAGACAGGAAGTCAGGTATACACCAATGTTAGACAGGAAGTCAGGTACACACTAACATTAGACAGGAAGTAAGGTATACACCAACGTTAGACAGGAAGTCGGCAACACACCAATGTTAGACAGGAAGTCAGATACACATCAATGTTAGACAGAAAGTCAGATACACATCAATGTTAGACAGAAAGTCGGGTACACACCAACGTTAGACAGGAAGTCAGGTACAGACTGTTAGAAAGGAAGTCAGATATACACCAATGTAAGACAGGAAGTCGGGTACACACTAATGTTAGACTGGAAGTCAGGTATACACCAACGTTAGACAGGAAGTCGGGTATACACCAATTTTAGACAGGAAGTCAGGTACACATCAATGTTAGACAGGAAGTCAGGTACACACCAATGTTAGACAGGAAGTCAGGTACACACCAACGTTAGACAGGAAGTCAGGTACAGACTGTTAGGTCGGGTACACACCAATGTTAGACGTTAGACAGGAAGTATTGTATACACCAATGTTAGACAGGAAGTCAGGTACACATCAATGTTAGACAGTAAGTCAGGTATACACCAATGTTAGACAGGAGGTCAGGTATACACCAATGTTAGACAGGAAGTCAGGTACACATCAATGTCAGACAGGAAGTCAGGTATACACCAACGTTAGACAGGCAGTCAGGTATACACCAATGTTAGACAGGAATTCAGGTACACACTAACGTTAGACAGGAAATAAGGTATACACCAACGTTAGACAGGAAGTCTGCAACACACCAATGTTAGACAGGAAGTCAGATACACATCAATGTTAGACAGAATTCAGGTACACATCAATGTTAGACATGAAGTATGGTACACATCAATGTTAGACAGGAAGTCGGGTACACACCAATGTTAGACAGGAAGTCAGGTATACACCAATGTTAGACATGAAGTATGGTACACATCAATGTTAGACAGGAAGTCGGGTACACACCAATGTTAGACAGGAAGTCAGGTTTACACCAATGTTAGACAGGAAGTTAGGTATACATCAATGTTAGTCAGGAAGTCAGGTACACATCAATGTTAGACAGGAAGTCAGGTACACATCAAAGTTATACAGGAAGTCAGGTATACACCAATGTTAGACAGGAAGTCAGGTATACACCAATGTTAGACAGGAAGTTAGGTATACACCAATGTTAGACTGGAAGTCAGGTACAGACTGTTAGATAGGAAGTCAGATATACACCAATGTTAGACAGGAAGTCGGCAACACACCAATGTTAGACAGGAAGTATGGTATACATCAGTTTTTTTTAGACATCAGTGTTGCTCTATAAACATGTATATACAGTTGCTCAGCATGAAGAGACAACTCAACCATGGTTCCAGGCTTGGTCCATCTCAGCCTTACCCCTGGTGACTTTGTCCCTTGGTCATAACATGGTAATAGTTGAGATTCCCTTGCTATAACTAAAACTTCTATTGCTAGGTATGAAAAGATAAACAAGTTATGCTACCATACTTGGCCCCTGCTAACCCATTGAGATCCCAACTCTATTAACATACATTATTCAGGTTAGCAGTACAGGCCCTCTGGGCCTCTTGTTTTGAAGCTTTTTGTCTCTGAATAAACTTTCTCAAAAATAATATTCTTTAAATATCTCTTATAATGATCAAACTTTTCAACGATTCAGTTGAATCTTTTAGATCTCTGTGTTTGTTGAATATTAAACAATTCTTTACATTATAAAAATGAAATATAATTGTTATCTGAGTTGCAGTGGATAACAATGATTGCTAGTTCTAAAAATGCAACATGATCATGATGATTAAATTAGTAATTTGGCTGAAGTGGCATGTTACAGCGGTGAAAATAACATTATCCTTGTAAAAGGGAATAGATGATACGCGTTGTTTCATACTTACAATATGTATGGATTATATTTATCCTGTTGTAGCAGGTATTAGCTAAATTGTTCAAGGTAAGCGAAAATGTAATGTATGTGTTGTTTAAAATGTGGTCCATACGAAATCCTGAAAATTTCTAAAAGTTGTGTAGTATAAAGGTAAAGCAATTATGATTAAAAGCATTTCACAGATTTTCACACATTGAAAAAACTACTCCTCGCTCTGGGCATGAAAGTAGTTGTGAATCATACCAGAAACAATTGTGGTAGACCTATGAAAATCTTGTCTTTTTCAGATATGCTCAAGATTTCATTAAAAAGGCTCCGAACAATGAAAGTGCTTGGAACTACTTAAAAGGGTAAGTGTGTCATGTCTGTGTGCAGGGTCAGTGGTTACAATACCGGGAATGTCATGTCTGTGTAGGGTCAGTGGTTACAATACCTGGTATGTCATGTCTGTGTAGAGTCAGTGGTTACAATACCGGGTATGTCATGTCTGTGTAGGGTCAGTGGTTACAATACCGGGAATGTCATGTCTGTGTAGGGTCAGTGGTTACAATACCTGGTATGACATGTCTGTATATAGGGTCAGTGGTTACAATACTGGGTATGTCATGTCTGTGTAGGGTCAGTGGTTACAGTACTGGGTATGTTATGTCTTTGTGTAGGGGAAATGGTTACAATACCAGGTATGTCTGTGTGTAGGGTCAGTGGTTACAATACCGGGTATGTCATGTCTGTGTAGGGTCAGTGGTTACAATACCAGGTATGTCTGTGTGTAGGGTCAGTGGTTACAATAACAGGTATGTCATGTCTGTGTAGGGTCAGTGGTTACAATACCTGGGATGTCATGTCTGTGTAGGGTCAGTGGTTACAATACTGGGTATGTCATGTCTGTGTAGGGTCAGTGGTTACAATACCTGGTATGTCATGTCTGTATATAGGGTCAGTGGTTACAATACTGGGTATGTTATGTCTTTGTGTAGGGGAAATGGTTACAATACTGGGCATGTTATGTCTGTGTTTAGGGTCAGTGGTTAGAATACCTGGTATGACATGTCTGTATATAGGGTCAGTGGTTACAATACTGGGTATGTTATGTCTTTGTGTAGGGGAAATGGTTGCAATACCGGGTATGTTATGTCTGTGTGTAGGGTCAGTGGTTACAATACCAGGTATGTCTGTGTGTAGGGTCAGTGGTTACAATACCTGGTATGACATGTCTGTATATAGGGTCAGTGGTTACGATACTGGGTATGTCATGTCTGTGTGTAGGGTCAGTGGTTACAATACCAGGTATGTCTGTGTGTAGGGTCAGTAGTTACAATACCAGGTATGTCTGTGTGTAGGTTCAGTGGTTACAATACCTGGTATGACATGTCTGTATATAGGGTCAGTGGTTACAATAACGGGTATGTCATGTCTGTGTGTAGGGTCAATGGTTACAATACCTGGAATGACATGTCTGTATATAGGGTCAGTTGTTACGATACCGGGTATGTCATGTCTGTGTGTAGGTTCAGTGGTTACAATACCTGGTATGTCATGTCTGTGTTTAGGGTCAGTGGTTACAATACCTGGAATGACATGTCTGTATATAGGGTCAGTTGTTACGATACCGGGTATGTCATGTCTGTGTGTAGGTTCAGTGGTTACAATACCTGGTATGTCATGTCTGTGTGTAGGGTCAGTGGTTACAATACCTGGAATGACATGTCTGTATATAGGGTCAGTTGTTACGATACCGGGTATGTCATGTCTGTGTGTAGGTTCAGTGGTTACAATACCTGGTATGTCATGTCTGTGTGTAGGGTCAGTGGTTACAATACCTGGAATGACATGTCTGTATATAGGGTCAGTTGTTACGATACCGGGTATGTCATGTCTGTGTGTAGGTTCAGTGGTTACAATACCTGGTATGTCATGTCTGTGTTTAGGGTCAGTGGTTACAGTACTGGGTATGTTATGTCTGTATGTAGGGTCAGTGTGGTTACAATACTGGGTATGTCATGTCTGTGTGTAGGGTCAGTGGTTACAATACCTGGTATGTCATGTCTGTGTGTGGGGTCAGTGGTTACAATACCTGGTATGACATGTCTGTATATAGGGTCAGTGTGGTTACAATACCTGGTATGTCATGTCTGTGTGTAGGGTCAGTGGTTACAATACCTGGTATGTCATGTCTGTGTTTAGGGTCAGTGGTTACAATACCTGGTATGACATGTCTGTGTGTAGGGTCAGTGGTTACAATACCTGGTATGACATGTCTGTATATAGGGTCAGTGGTTACAATACTGGGTATGTCATGTCTGTGTGTAGGGTCAGTGGTTACGATTCTGGGTATGTCATGTCTGTATATAGGGTCAGTGGTTACAATACCTGGTATGTCATGTCTGTGTGTAGGGTCAATGGTTACAATACCTGGTATGTCATGTCTGTGTGTAGGTTCATTGGTTACAATACTTGGTATGACATGACTGTGTGTAGGGTCAGTGGTTACAATACCGGGTATGTCATGTCTGTGTAGGGTCAGTGTTTACAATACCTGGTATGTCATGTCTGTATGTAGGGTCAGTGGTTACAATACCGGGTAGGTCATGTCTGTTTGTAGGGTCAGTGGTTACAATACTTGGTATGACATGTCTGTGTGTAGGGTCAGTGGTTACAAAAGCTGTTGATAAGATATTTTTTGTGCGTAGGATGCTGATTTACGACAGATGTTTTGTATGTAAGATGCTGATGATTACAATAATGACAGGAGATATTGTTGTGTACAGGGCACTGTTGGACCATGATCTGAGTAAGTACCCAGGCCTGATGGACTTCTGTCAGCAGCTTTACGAGAGCCAGTACCGCTCACCGTACCTGATGGGCTGTATGGTGGACACGTACGAAGAGATGCTAGAGCTGGACTGTGAGGATAAAGTGGGTGTGCTGGACAAGGCTACTACAGTAAGTGGGTCAGAAACAGACTGAAGGCAACTAGTGTCGCGTCAGAAACAGACTGAAAGCAACTAGTGTCGCGTCAGAAACAGACTGAAGGCAACTAGTGTCG